CCACATCCACTTACTGTGGAGCCTCAATCATGGCAAAGCAAATGCAGAGTGCCATTCCTTCCACCTGCCTGCTGACTGACAGCTGCAGTGCAGGTGTGTTACACTGCTAGAATAGAGAATCAGGCCCTGACGCCGAGACAGAGGAGAGACGAGAAGAACAGAGAGGAACAGGGAGTTAAAAAGGGTAGAGGGTGAGGTGGAGGGCAGAACAGGATGAGGGTGCGCAGTGAAGAGCCAGCAGGGCTGATAAATGGGGGCAGGTCAGCGCTGGGGCATATGTGTGACGCTAATGTACAAGGACGAAGGAGCAGATATAGAAGGGAGCGCTGAGTGGCAGCCTGTCACGCTCCTCGTCCTTCAGCTCACCTGCAACCTCCACAGTAGCAAACAGTCCCGGAGATAGACTGCTCTGCAAATAGTGTGATGACTTAAAGGAGACAGTTCAATGTCCCACTGAGAGCTTGTTGATGCCATGCAGCACTGACTTGACACTCAATGTTACAAGGAGACAAACAGTCTTTGAACAGGAGTGTGGGCCATAAAGATGGCAGCGTGTTACACAACATCAAAACTTAGCACCGAATATTATAGGAAATATATGGGAATATGGTCTGAAAACTATTATTTATTCACTGCCAGAAATGTGTCATTCACCAATAAGAGTGACAGGCAGAACAATTACATACTCCACAACCAGGGGGCAGCAGATGGCTCAAAACTAATAAAAAAAACAGAACCAGAGTATCACCATGGGCTGGGTGATGACAGAGACCAAAGGCTTATCTGAAGAAATAATACCCCAGTACAGCTAAATACACTTAGATAATGTATAAATGCAACACTTCAGCAAAGCACTACAACAACAGCCAGTAAAAAAGGGAGCAATATATTTTTTTAAATTTAAATGGTCTATGAATTAAGAAATGTTCCTGAGAAGAGAGAAACAAGCAGAGTTAGAGGGAGGATCAGGGACAGAAAGGGTTTTGCAATTGTCCAAACTGAAACTTCAACACAGACACTTACTGGATACTAGACCAGGTGGGAACTCAGGACATCAGGATCAGCATGAACACGGCATGAACACCAGGCAAAAAGACAGGACGCACATGGACCAAGAACAATGACCCGACAGAGAGCGCAGGAGAGAGGTGTGTGTACCAGGCGACACCAGTGAGACTAATGATGTACTGATGACACCCATTAGCCCAGCAGACACAGACAGACAGACAGACAGACCTCACGCAGTCGTCAGTCATACACCTATGCAAAATTCAGAGAAAACACCATCGACCTCGCTTGCCCAATTATCTTTAACTGCTAAGGCAGGAGTGAAAACTTTTACAAAGGATTATTTCCAGAAATTGTGTTGTGCCTTTCAGCTCCTGAAGCTCATCAGACCAAAAATAGACCGAAAGACTTGAGGATAAAAAGTTTTCCAGTGATGAATGTTGGTGTCACTTCACAGTGCTGCTTACACCCAGGACTAATCCACATCTACTGTACCTGCACCGCGGTGGATGGATGTGTGCAATCGAGTCCGACTTTTCAATTTACAGTACGTACAAATAAAAAGGCAGGGAACAGGCAGCGTGTGGCGTTTATCTTGAACGCAGATGGAACCCTGCTGTGTCCACACCTCTCGTCTCACACATGGAATGATCAGGGAAAGCCCTCTGCAGTCAGGACACAGAGATAAAGCCACAGGGACACTTTCAGATCTTCTTAGGAACCATGTATGTTTGGATAAGATTCTCCTTGAATCAAAAATTGGAGTCTGTTCATCTTTCCTGATTGGATTCCTCAAGAACCTCAAGATAATGCTGTTATTTCGAATGAGTGCTTGAGAGGAGGCGGTGGCAGACAAACCCGTTTGTTGAACGTTACCTATCGTTCACTGTTGTGATGCATGTGCATCTGTGTCTGCGCCTGTTGTTCCAGCAGATGTGTTAAAAGAGGAGGATGTTAATGAAGTGCCGTCACACGTAGGCTGTTGCCTTAAAGGCAACAGTCAGGATTCCCTCCACGTACGCATTCTGTTTGCAGTGCGGAGGCTGTGATGTGCTGCCTGACTGCAGAGACTTGCTCGGGGCCAGACAGAAGGGGACCGACTCAGTACAGGGGGTCCCTGCTGCGGTGCCACTCTCTCACCAGCAGAGCAAAGGCTCAGCACCGCATGCAAGTGTTTTTGTTGTGTTATGTGTACGAGTTACTCTGCTGCAGTTATGTGCACTCAGCTGCATTCACCAGGAGGAGACCAGGGTGGAAACAAGTAACATGCTCTTTAAACACATCTGGACGAGCACCGACACGTCCTGCAGACAAGGGCGATCAATCACCGGGGGAAGAGAATGCACGTGGATGTGGTTCTTTAAAATGCAGCCGAACTGGTAAACATCCTGTTTACTGACTTCTACCGTAATCTGGCACTCCTCCTCCATGGGAGGTGTCAGAATGGTCAAGGCACCCACCGAGGACTTCAATTAGTTTAATATCACACAAAGAAAACTGAGCCATTTTCCCTATGGGGGGTGAGGGGTGGGGGATGGGGAGGGGGTCGTCTCTCTGTTCCAGCCAACATTGCTGCATTACAGCTCTCCACAAAGGCTCTGCAGTCATCTTCAAAGTTTGACTTTACCGCATAAACTGTTACATACAACTGTTTCTTGGCTGCAATAGATGAAGAGAACGAGGAAATGTTCTCTTAATCAGTGCGGCAGCTGAGGACATTATCACACAAACACAGAAGGGGAAAAAAAGGGGGTTACCCCTCGAAGGGAATATCTGGGCCTCTCTTGTAAAGCATGACATCTGGCACCAGCGAACATCTGAGTAAGCAGATTGGCCCTACAGGCCTGGTGTGACAGCTTACGAGGAAACTGGGAGATGTGCAAGAACTGATCTGCACAGCTCTTTCGCTCAAGCTGTTACCTTAGCCTGGCTGACTCCACGCCTCTGTCCCGGCACCGAGCTGGCACAGCAGCGTCCCCTCAGAGCCATGATGGAGAGAGCGATGTGATTCATCCTTCTCCACCGTTCATTCATCTCTATCTTCTGCTCCTTCTCTCTCCGTCCTGGGCCTCAGAAACCTCTTTTTTGTTAATCCCATGTACCAGGAGTCACGAACACCTCAATGATCCAATAGAACGTTCCAGAACTCTGACATTCCCACTGTTTTTCTTTTAAAGACAGTAGGGTTTCCGCTCATTTCTTTTCCTGAACTTTATCCAGGCATTTTCAGCTGAGTCAGCATAACTGAAGTTAGGCACTATGATCTAATAGGATCTCCTGCCCGACCGATTCGCTGTCGTTGTCTTCTATACACTTGTGCTGTTAATCTTACAGATTACATTCAGGGTTTCCACTGTGGGCGCTCATCACCACTCAGTTGTCGCCCCCACAGCTTCAGAGTCGGGGCAGTCTGCCTGTTATCATTACTATCATTACTACCTGAAAAGAAAAGTGTGTGGATCAGCTGAGTTTTACAAACACCTTATTTTGGTGATGGTGCTGTAGGCAAAACAAAACAACACAAAAAGCTGAACGGGCCGCATCCGGCCCCGGGGCCTTAGTTTGCAAATGAAGTAGAAATGATTTCATCCAACTAGAACCTGTGTTTGAAACCATTTTAACAACTTTAGTGCAAAACTGCACATAAACATCTAAGATAAACTGCTGCTGTTTGTGAGTGGAATGATAAACTACCAAAGGTTATTTTTGTACTGCCTGTTGAAAACCCTAAAATACCACCTGGGTAAAAGAGAAAAATATCGTGTCCAAATCTCTGTTTAACTTCCTTAACAAGTTGGCTGCAGCGTATTACCTCTTAAACACGAATATTACCTTTATTGTACCTCTATAACTCAAGTGGTGAATTATAGCACTGTAAAAATAATCTATATATTTCAAATGTCTCATATTTTGGGGATTTTTTTTTTTTATGTTAAGCTAAAATGATCTGAATCCTTACTGAGCTCTCAGTCCAGTGTCAGCTGAAGGCTGAGCGAGTGTCTCACTAAGTTTGGCTAAAGGAAGATTTTGTGAACACTAATCATTATTCCATCCATGCATTGGCAGAAATGAATTATTGGAGTCAGGTAATTACCCACTCATGACAGAATAAACTGTTCTCACGTCTAATTTTCTAAAGGTCAGGTTGTCCTGAGGGCTGCTAATACAAGCCCATTTCTGTAATGGCAATATTCCTTTTGACTCTCCTCCTGTGTTCGACTCACTGACAACAGAATCACTTTGAAAAACATGTAACAGAGATGGCATTTCCACAACTGGCTTATGTGCAGACGAGACCTACTTTTCAACTTTGATGAAAAAAAAAAGGTGATATTAATTTGACAATAATATAAATATAGGTTTTCAGTATTACGATGGAAAACAAACCATAAATCATGCAAAAACATGAGCTCATTTGGGCAAAGCCATCGTAACTCAGTATACATTTGAAAGAAAAAAAAAAGAAAAATGATCAGCTTTGTTTACAACCTCAAAAGACACCTGATCACATTTGACCAGGAGATTTTAAAGAGTCCTTACGGTGCCTTTGTGTTGTGATGAATGAGGTAATCCTCCAGACTGCCGTAAAGCCCAGATCAGCAGCAGAGACCTGCGGAGATGGTCGCCCTGTTTTTACAGGGGCGACCATCTCTTTTGTGAATCACTGACGTGGAGCCACAGTGGCCATCAGGAAACTGTGCTCCTGGGAACTTTTACAGCAGCAGGATATTTTATAGCCTTTTCCACAATTGAGTCTCAACACGTTTCTATCTCTGAGCCTTGTCTGCAGCTGCTTTGACCTCAGGCCTGGTGTTTACTATGATGTGCATCATGTGTATGTTAATGGTTCCGAGACCTTGTGTGGAGAGATGGAAGGTCAAAGAAATATATATATATATATATATACAACCTGAATATATATCTAATGTTTTCTTGTGTTTTGTCAGTATGGTTAAAGTGAATATTCAGAATGAGATGAGACTAAACTATTTTATTCCTCCTTTATGCTAGTAAAACTAGCAGTTAAAAACTAGTTAAAAAGGCAGTGATTTAAACAGTGTGTTTAAGTCTTTCCATTCTACTCCAAAGCACAAACACACGCAGTGACTTCTTCCAAGACTGTTGGCTTTATATTTTGTAACTTGGCTCTCTTTTTTATCTTACTCTCCTCTCATTTAAAAACATTTTCTGTAGGTGGCTCTTCTGTTCTTGGCTAAAACAGACACATTTCTAAACTTCTTCTTCACTATCAAATACTCATAGTGTAAGTGTAAATCCTTGCCCCCGTCCCCAGGCGTTCATCTAAAGGAAGACATCAACCAGGGTGTACTCACTTGTCCGGTCGTCCTGGTACCTGCAGCCGTAATCGGCATTTGTTTGCACACTGAATCTGTTCTTCTTTAATCCTAATCAGCCTCTGCAGAGCCAGGCACCAGTCCTGGGCCACGGTGGTGTTCAAGTTCTTCAACAAAGAAATAACAGACAACTTGTTTTTAGTAGATTGTCAATAAGTTGTGTCGCAAAAAACCCCAAGTACTGCTGGAGCACAGGTGTCTTCAGCAGATACCAGGGGACATTAACAGTGTGACCTCGGCTGAAAAACAACCCACTCGCTCATATAAAACTTTAGTAAGTTATCCAACACGACACTGTGGTGGCATTTTTATCCCCCAGAATGTAACACTCAATTCACTTCCACAACAGCATCCATTAACAGTGAAACCTAGTCCCGCAAGTCGAATGGAATCAAATCAATTTCCCAGAGTCAATGAGCTGTGGACGAGCGTTTGGTCCATTTGTTCTGTGTTCGAAATTCCAACAGTGTGAATCAGTCAAATATCACTTTACCTGAGGACACGGGGCTCTTTAGGTGTGAGGTGCCACAATTAGCCCAGCTTTTTACAGAAAATATCTTCCTAGCTGCATTATGAGCTGAACAGTCATATTAATGTGTTCAGGTTCTGGCAAACTACTGGGTAATATCTCTATAATGGAGTGCAACTGAAGCCAGCACGTGAGTGTGAGTGTGTGTCTGAGTGTGTGAATTGCCAATGAGATCTTTTAAAATGTTAAAATTACACTTGTATTTAATGTACTTTATAAAATAAATAATACATAAATCTGAACTACATTGATCCCATATTTGGGAAATTTGGGAAACCCAGGACTCTCTGCTCACTGCTTCCGAGGCAGGCGTGCTAACCGCTACACTACGGAACCGACCTATATGAGCAGTGTTCATTTTGACAGTCCATTGTCACGTGACAGTGATGGATCAGTGACATCATCATTCTAAGAAATGGTGGTCTGCACTGTCCTCATGACAACGGAATGACAGCGTCAAGGTGTCATTATCATACTTTCTCAGAAAACACTGTTGCAGTTGTACCCAGTATGTCTGTGCCACGTGACTGATGAGGTTTGTAACGACAACATACTGGTTTTAATATTCCCGTGTGGACTTTTCCATATTCTTCTGACTAGGTTGTAACTTAGACTTTCGTCCTCATTTAGTCAATAAAAAAGTTTTTTTTAGTTCAGGTTGAAACTAAAGCAAATTTTAGCTTTAAAATTAACTAAATCCTTCACTCAGATCTGTCAACTGTTTCTTCACAGGCCACTGACTAAAATGGAAAATCTTTTTTTTTTTTCTTCTCTACTTAAACTTCTGTCCGTGCGCACTACGGTGGTTTGATGAGCAGGTAAGATCAAAGCGAGGGTTAACAACAGTGAGTGACTCAATCTGCCAGAATCCAGGAAGATTAAGAGTAATGTGGAGCTGCGGCTCAGTAAAAAGACAGAGAACCCAGCTTTCATCGTGGAACGTTCTTTACACTGTTGGAGTACATGGAGATCAGATTAATTTAAAGGTTATTTTACATCATTTAGCACTGCAGATAATGAGCTGCTCGTCTAGTCACTTCACGCAACTTTGATTCTAATAAATCTTTCACATTTCACTAGTACCTGGTATGTTCCCTGTAAGGTTCCAACTAGAAGAGTGACCTCCTCCACAACTGACAGGTCATGCTGTAGCTCCTGCAGCTCCTGGTAGAGCCGTGGAGGTCCCAGGTTTGTTTTACCTGCGGGGTGAACAAAATGATAGCATCACCAAACTAAATGTTTGTAGACAGAAAAAAAAACAGTAATTTGACACACACACAAAAAAAAACAGATCAGGAACAATGCCAGTGATTTGGACTGGCGACTGAAAATCCACTGCCGGTCCTACAAAGAATTTGATAGCTGGATCGATCTTCATTATTCCCTGAACAAGCGAGTGAATCAATGAGTTAAAAAAGGAGAAAATGATGGAGAAACTATTATTTGAAACTATGATGCCCTTTCGCTGGCCAAATGAAATGCAGGTGTCTCATTAGACGCAAATTCAGCATCGATTCCCGGCCCACTCTTTTTCAAAGTCTCGGTGTGCTACTGCTGTGAATCGATATCTGCGTCTCCTCCTGTCTGCCACGCTCCCTCCTCGCTCCCCTGGCCCACATCTACACATCAGCAGGTTCCATGAAAACTGTCTAATTAAATTCTGCTGGTAGATTTTTGCTCCATAGCTGTCCTGCACTGTCACCACCACCACATAATGGAGTAGCAGGAGAGCTGAGCCAGTAGGCGGGCTTAGTGAGGCATGCTCCTCCGGGGGGACCAGCTACCTTTTGTCTATCCACGTGCATAAATGGAGCAAGAGCAAAGCCATTGGAGCAAAGGGAGCAGGAAAGGAGAGCAGCAGACTGGGGTTGTTCTTTTCTAAAAGCTCCGCTGTGGCTTTGGAGGGTGGTTTAATGGGATCTTTGACACAGGCAGCCTGTGGCATCTGTCAGCTGTGCACAGAAATCAATAGGTGACATATTTGAATACAAAAGGATGAGTTGCAAAAGCGCAAGAACAATGTCCACCCCAAGGAAACTGTCCTGACCTCTGATCAGATTAGTCCTCTCCTGGGGGACACGCTGTTGTCTACTGCCTGAGAGGTGAATGTGCACTTGTAATCCAGAGTAATCCCATTGGTGAGGCAGGATATGTGTTTTTTTTCTTCACCCAGACATGGGAATGAACCACAGCCACAGGTATTTAAAGCAGCGGTGTGGAAGGTCGGAGCCTGCTGGGACTTTTCCCCATTTTATCGGGAGTAAGTCCACAATCGCCGTGGCACTGATGCTCGGCAGAGAATTCCGAAATAAAGCAGCTCCTTCAACTATTTTAAATCCACACCCCAGGTCCAGTGACTGGGAAGTGACAGGGCCCAGTCTTGAAGATTTCAGTAACAGTACATACTTTGGTCCTTGTCTCTTGATAGAAACACTTTTTTAAATGACAACATAACAGAGACACAGGCAGAGACAAGGGTAAAGATAAAACAAGCCTGGACGTTTCTGTAAATGACTCCGGTGTGAGTCATACTGTGAGAGAGCAGGATTTGGACAGCACATCTAACTAAGTTAGATCACAGAGGACGAGGTGGCCCGTCTGACTGAAAATTCAACAGAAATATCCATAAAGATCAGATAAAGGTGACCTCAGACTGCTGCAAGGTATAAAAAAAATGAAAAATTAGAAAAAAACATAGAGTCTAAATTCAGCACCCTTTGGGGGTGGGTGGGGGGGCAGAGGAAGGGGGCAGTGACAGACACTATCCTCTGAAGACAGACACAGCTATAGCTGTAGAGCTAACCTGGCATCAGTGGTTCCCAAAGTGGGGAGCAGGTTCCTTAAGGTAGCGCAAAGACGGCGGGGATTCAAGGGGGTGAATGTCAGTTTTATTAATTGTTTAACAGTGGGTTGACTATTGTTTGGCTAAATAGCAAGCTTTTAGCAGAATAGCAATGTTTAAGTGTTTAAGTTTATTTAGTTAGTTAGTTTTTATTTAGTAGGAATCATAGCAAAAAGAAAAAAAAAGCATAAAATGTGTTTATACAATACATATGCCTCAAAAAAATCTATATAAATAACATAAGAAATATAATAAATAACTTAAAACAAATAATTAAAATTCAGAAAAATAGAGGTCAACCATATCAATCTAGGACTTCATTTCTCAATCAGTAATACTCCTCAGAAGAGAGCAAAGTACCAAGAGTACCAAGCCTCTACTGCCTACACTTCTGCTCCATGGACAGTAGCCAAGTAAAAAAGTCCAAATATGTCATGACCCACTCTCGGACAGGAGGGTTCCAACGTATAGATATTAGTTTTTCTGCAGCATTAAGTCCAGCTAACAACCCTTGAACCCTTGAAGCAGATGTGAGTACATACAGTATTCACTGGTACACACTACCTGGGAACTGTGAAAACAATGTGGAAAAGAGTTTCAGGTAGCTCACACTGCTACTGCAGCCCGATGTTGCAGTGTCAGCTGTAAACGTCTGTACGTCTTGATAAGACTCTGTGTCTCTATTCTTCCCATGACGTGTTATCATTGATCACTTTAAGCCCGTACACTTCGGAGTTGTGCATGGAGCGGTGGGAGAACTCCTGTCTCCACCACAGATCCCTATCTATGGCTACAGGCGCTCTAATTGGGTCTGGAAAGTGAGGGAATAATCTCTGCAGATTGATGACTTCACTCAGGATGTGTTTGTGGTCTATCAGAGAGTGAAATGAGACTTTGGAGATGATGCAACAGGGGTGTGAGGGGGCTCACTCAACCCCCCTTATCTCGCCTCAAGATAAAGCAGCGCAGACAGATGGGAACAAGTGACCGTCATCACTATCCCTCTCACAAACACGTCCTCAATCAGAGTGACAACTCCAGCGCTCCACTGGACACTCAGGAACAGAAACAGATTAGCGTTGCCGAGTCAGAGACGACGTGTCGGGACAGGTCGGCCTCCCTCTGGGACGAGGATTCTGTCCGAACTCTTTCTCTGACTTTGGACAGAGTCCAACAGAAATTGTTGGCCACTGACCCAAATCAGTTCGTCCAGTCAGTTGTTGGTGTTGGAGTGGCAGAAACTCAGGTTCATTATCACAAACCTTTGTTATTGTGAATCTTCCATCTTCAGAAAACCATAATAGTTCATAATAAATCCTAATCTTTATACCAGCACCGTCCATAAATGTCTTTTTTTAAGACCAATTATTTGCAATTGTTTGCTAAGTAAAAGGTTACGGACAAGATTTTAGGAATTATAAAGGATTTTAACAGAAAAACATCTAATCACAATCACATCTAATCACATCTAATGTGATACATATTGCTAAAAAAAAGAGTTGACATTCTTAAAATGAAACAGTTGTCACAAAAAACACACGTCCCCCTCAATAATGGAAGAAAAACTATAAGCAGTTTCCACAAGAAACAAGTATGTTTCCTACATTTAATTTAATTTAATTGTATGATATCTTACAACTTTGCTGTGAATTACACATTTAATCCATTTGGGGGTGAGGAAAGGAAATACGTTTTAAAGTTCATGCACATTCAGTGGCGGTTTCTTTCCTTGGTCTTTGTCCTGAACCATATTGTCATGCTGGAGACGTTGACAAGAAATAATTCTCTGTCATCTCGTTTTGAGTTTGATTTTTTTTTATTCAGGGTATCTGGATTGATCTTAAAAAGAAAATCCACCAACGGTTCATTCTTTCTAAGCTCGGAGTGTGGAGTGNTTTGTTTGTGTTTTACCTGAATTGCAAACGCTGAGTGGCCGTTTAGCTCCACTCTGCTGGTAGAAGGTTTCTTTGCTTTGAGAACCCTCTTGCCCCACTTCTACTACTTGGACCTGCTGTAAAGGGGCACTCCACTTCATGGTGTACTTAGGGCCAATGGGAACAAGGCTGCTGATATCTGGAGGCCCCCTGGTGGAGATGAAGAAAAAAAAGGATTAAGAGGAATGAGACTAGAAAGGAAAAAACATCAAGAAGCTCGTCTCCGTACTCCGCAACCTGTAAAGAGCTGCGCACGCAGCGCAACCAGCCTTTGAAATGTCACACAGACAAGAGAGGAAGGGGAATTAAAAATCTGTATGTTCATCCATGTTCACCATCCAAATTGTACCTCTTGCTGTGAGGAGGAGTTCATTGCTATTCATGTATTCCTGTAATCACACAGACAATCAACATTGGGATCGGTTTGTCAAGATCCTGGAGGGCAGACAAAGTCAACTTCGGGACACTCAAGTAGAATGAAACATAAAGCGATAATTACTTTGAAGGTAGAACAAGAGAGCTCGAAGCAAAGTCTCTGACAGGAGCTTTTCAAAAATAAACAAAATCCCCTTCCTGTTTACTCTCCGCCAGAGAGAAGTGGAGAGAGGGAGATGTGATCAACAGCGCTGTCACCGAAAATAAATTGGATGGAAACTAAAAAATGTTTTATGTCAGTTATCTAGGACTCCTCTAGTTGTAGTTGGGCATTCTACCATTTGTTTAAAGCTGATAAAGCTCCTGCAACTTCAGATAGTGCCCAAAACCCCTAAGAGCTATTTCTCTTTACTATTCTGTTTGCTAAAATATCTTAAACCTAGGGTTCCACATCACAGCGCTGCCACCTAAAAACGGTGCACTTGAGCTAAACTCTCTGGAATAAAAAATAAATACTTTTAACACAACTTCATACTTGGACTGGAGAATTATAGACACAATAAAGTGTTCTTAATATCAAGGCCATTTAGCTTAGTCTGTATCAAGAGGGACTTACTTGACATTTATGTTTGCACAGATGAGCACATCATCAAAGAGGAAGACTTTTCTCTCCTTTGACTTCAGGACTTGTCCCCGATCACTGTACACGGTCTCTATGAGCGTCTCACAAAGGACCAGCGACCCCTGCTCCGCGTTCAGTTGCTGAGAAAGGACACGGCAGTTAGATCAGAGGAAAGAACGACAGCGTCACAAAGAAGCCGCTAACTAAAAGGTTCACCGCCTTGAGGATGAAGGCTCGGGGAAATGGCAATTCATCAGGGATTAGTAGGACACTGGTGTGGTAGAAGGTCACGAGAAGGCCGTGTATATACACAGACAGAAAACACACTTATGTATTGAGAGTATTTATTTAGTATAACTCCGTTTTTGATTGAAGAGAAAAGGGACAAGAATAAAAGAAACCTAGGATTCTTTGTGAAATACAAACACAAACAAATATTTACATGTTTATGTAAATTACACTCAGATGAAACAAGGACGAGGGTGAAACACAAGCCACTCTGTCTGCTGCACACAGAAATGCACATCAATTTCAAAACACCATCCCAACGGTAAACAAAGGTTGGGGAATGAAGCTTTTATGATTTGATGCTCATTTGCTGCCTGTGGGCATGAGCAAGGCATCATCTGCTTCATCTTCATCGTCACCATCATCAACATCGCTGCAATGTATTTGAAATTTCACACTGCTGAGACTCGACACTTCAGCTTTGCAGCAGTATCTTGGTCGTAAAAATAAAGTAAAGGTAAAACCTGCTTCAGATGGATCCCACTAACAGCCCAAAGCTACAGCCAAAAAGGACGTGAAGCAATGACATTAAATCGTCGGCTTACAACCATTTATACTCACAATTACAACATCAGTTAATCTAGAGGTTCCAAATAACCCATCATTTCCTGGGGGAGAAAACGTCATTCCTGACGCGAAGACTCTTGAGCCAGGATTTAGATATGAAACAAAAAAACTAAACAAATCATCAATAACCAGGTTGGGAACTAGGAGCAAATACTGCCTGGGCTTAGCTAGCTGCTTTTGGCTAAGCAGAAGAGAACATAGTAGGTGACCTACAGCCACATACAAAAGTTTGGCCTCAGTCGTCTTCAAAACTAAAGAATAGCTATAGAAGGTCAGCTGAAATACAGGACGTTTGAATTTAAAAGGGTTTATGATATAATACCATAACATACCACCCCATACCATATATACAGTAATATACCACACCATACGGTACTGTACCACACCACACCACATTTCCTACATAGACTAAAATTTCCAATGCAGACTAAAATTAATAATGAGCTACTACATTTAATGGCTATAGTAGGTGTCATTGTCAATTCTGAAATTGGACAAAACTAAGACAAGTGTGTAATAGATTAGTTGTTGCATCTTGGACTTTAATCAATGGATTCCCTGTGTGCCCTCGTATGATAAAATATAAAATAATTCTACTAACACATTAGAATATCTTTGAATTCAATTAGATTCAAGGTTGTTTTTTTTTTTTTTTACAAAAAGATTGTACTGTTTCCTTTCAAAACACACGAGCGCACACACACACATATCAGAAACTGCAGTGTTATTACTGTGCTACACAACATTGGCACCTCCTGTGCTCTCCTCTCTCATTCCATATGTCTGGCAAAGGGAAACAGCAACACAAAGCGTCTTTTAATCACTCCTTTCCAGCCTTTTTTATGGCTGCCTAAATCAATACTTTACGTTTTATGCATACTGCGCCAATCTAAGCCAGGCTCGTAACTTTTTTATTGATGACACTGCGCAGCCTGCAAGCAGCAGGTTAAGTCTTAGTGAGCAGTTCACATCCCTGTGCCCTGATGTTTGTGTTGGTAAAATAAAAATAAAACACACACAAACATTTAAAAAGAATAATGAATCTAATCTCTCTGCTGTGTCCAGTTTACACCCTGCGGTGCAGTGCTACCCCTGACCACATTTCACACAAGTGGATGTTCATGGCCAATTGGGTTTGGCTGGTTTTGATGGAGGTTCACATAAAACACAAAATTAATCTGGCTGCAAGTGTCTTTTGATGCCTTAAAAAACATGGCGCTCCCTCGTGAGGTGGTGTACCATCTTAAATTTACTGAGGAGGATGCTGTTTGTGTGTCTGGCTGTTCCTGATACAGATATACATGCAGGATGAGGACATTTGAGGACATTTTTATTGAGATAACAACATTCTTGTCACACGTTTGTCCTATAGGTACATCCAGTAGGTCTTCAATGAGAGAGGAAGGATTTGGAGGTTTAAATGTAGTTAAAGGTTAGGGTTAGGATTAGGATTAGGAGAAATAGAATCGGCTTTGGGTTTGTGACAAACGTGGGGTTGCCCTGGAATCCAATTGAGGTCACCTAAAATGACGTGAAAATGATTAAAACAAAACTGATAAAAACAAAACTGATAAAAAATGTTTTTTCAACTCATTTTTTACTTTTCTAAATTATGATTAAAAACACCAAACAATCAAACAACTGTGTTCTTCCACTCCCAGGAATATAAATCCAGTTCCAATAAAATGCAGCATATAAAAATAACTGAGCGACCGCATCTTGATTGACGACTGCAATCACGAGACGAGCCACCTTAACTGTACCTGTGATCAGCATTAGCATTAATCTGGGTATTTGAACATAAAATATATAAAAAATATAAATAAGTAGGATATAAAAAAACACCAAAAACTCAATTGTGGAAAAAAAATGTCTCGGCGTTGTGAACCACTGGATTGGAGCTATGGTAAGAATTAGGATTAGGCCGATATCTGTAACAGTAATGAGGCTACTGCACCGCAGGACACCTGCCACCAGAAGGCTCTGGGTTCAATACCACAAAGACCTTAAATCTGCTGTGTTGCTTTATGATTGGATCTGGAAAAATAATGTACAATGTGTTCTTTTTGCTTGTATCAACTTTGAACAGTTCTACGTTGACTCAAAGTGATGGGTTTGAACAGACTCATAGGACAAAGAATGACGACGACTTCATCGTATGAATATCGGAAAACAATGTTATCCCTATTGGAGTTCTGCAGGTTTACTATAACAGATGCAACAGTGTGTGCAGCTGGAGGAGTGCCTGAACCAGAACAGCTGAGAGATGGCGCAGGAAGATTCCTCGAGATCTGAAGGGGTGCAGGTAAGTGGAAGTGGAGGGCGATGGAGTGGACTCACACACCACACATACCAGAGCAGGAACATACAGGTAGGAGAGGAGGAGGAGGTAAAACAGGGAGCAGAAGAGAGGCGCAGTGAAAAGATAGCTTCCCTACAGTTTCCAATTCAATGTCTCATTTACCTCTAATTCTTCTTATTCAGAGCAGCATTTGTTCAGATTTGCCGTAGCAGGATTTTAATTTCAGTGTGGTAATGGAGAGGACCATTCCTCTGCCACTGGACTGGGAACTGTTCAGGGATGATAATGGGAATCATTTCTGGAAGATCATTTATCTAAATGAAAACGCTGGCCTGGATTAATGTAATGAGAAAGTGATATAAGCAACTGGTTTACACCACATTAGTTTATAGGTGTTTGGCCTGCAGTGATAACCACGCCGAGGACTAAAGAGCTCACAGCTGATTTGATTGGAGAACGTTCCATGCAGCTGTAGGACGTGTGTTAATGGGGGGGAGAGGAGGGGGGGGGGCGTCACTGTGTCAAATCTTGATTGTTTTTATGGACAAATATAATTGAATTCCACACTTTCTGTAAAACTGTAATATATTGAATAGTTCACACATTTATTATAGACTGTGACCTTTCAAAATCTGAGAAATATAGTTTATAAATACGTGTGAAATAATTACTACTGCTGATCAGCGTAAAACTGCAGTTAAGAAGTGACAGGACAGGCAGTATCATTAACCACCACAGGAGGCAGATGTGAGCCAAACAGGCCCTGGTTGGTTCTTTTTTTCCCCAGAGATCAAGCTTTTGGCCGTGACAAAAGGTTAAGACTCTAAAGACTACTTGAACCTAGAAAACTAGGAAGGATTATTCCAGAAAATGACAACAATTTCATGGAGAGTAGAAACATGGACAAGGTAAGACCAAAAATGGTGATTCATTATTTTTAAATGGGAACATGCTTAAAAAAAATCTCAATTTGAAAATCAAAACCTAACCTTTTATGTTGGATCACACCAGGCTTTCATTTGTAATAAATTATGATGGTGAATTTAAAAGGTAACACATGGAGTGTGTTAGTGCGTCTGTCTTCATGGTGGGGGAAAAACGGATTTTGGAAATAAAATGCAGGGACACTTTGGATACTGTGGAGTTAGAGAAAGGGTGTCAAACTATTTTTCACTGCGGGGGACACATCAGCAATACAGTTCCCCTTAAAGGGCCGGTTGTAAATGGAAGACTGTACAGATGTCACTACTCCATAACATATTAATGAATGTTTCTGCAATTGATTATTGTTTATTCAAATTACAAATATTGTTCATTATTGTGAAAAAAGAAAGTATCAGGTTAATAAACTCTGCTGCATGGACTTTATTAAATGCTTTTTAAACTCTTGCGGGCCGCACAAAATGACTTGGTGGGCCGCATTTGGTCCCCGGGCCTTGAGTTTGAAACAGGATTTAAAGGGTAATTTGAGGTTTGGAATTCAGAATATCTATTGTTAGGTAAGTACTAACAGATAGAAATGAGTTTTTGCGCTAGTTTTGCGAGCTCACCACAAACCTCGACACCTTTTACTGATCTGTGGGCGTCAACAGAGTGTGTGTGCAGTCACCTTACTGAGCAGGCGATCACTGACGCTGCGGGCGAGTTGCCGTGTTTCAGTAATCTGGTCGGCAACTCGTTTCTGTTCATTCAGCTTCTCAGCCAGCATCTCTAGCTCCGTGAGAGCGAGCTGCAGGGGCAGTCGATCCACGTGACCTTTGGGTGTGTTCTTCAGCATGTCCTGGAGGAGTTCACAAGGAAAGTTTTGGAGAAAGAGAAGCTGCTTGAAATGTATGGAAAGACTTGTAGAACTTAAAATAAATATGAAAAGATGACTGACCATGAGCAGCAGGGTTTTTACATGTCCGTGTTTTATTTCTGTTTCTGTTCAGCCTGCATCTGTGACTCAGTGAAAACTTGCTGTCGTCTTAAAATGCACATTTGTACCTCATTGCCTTCAGTTCTACTTGGGAGCCATGTACATTTCCTCTTTGTGGAGTACTGGGTTTAGGCTGAAGGGGAATTGCCTTATTCACATTCATAACTTATCTTTGGAACTCATGGATAATCAATGTTTACTGAGGGATGAAATGGGCTGCTGCTGATCCAGCAAGTCAAGCTCAAATCCAAATCTTTGCCCGAATAAAAAAGTCGAGAAGTAAAGCTGAAGTGGCAGGGAGCTTGTATCTGAAAGTTATGTTAAAGTATATAATATATTTAAAATCCTCTTAAAAAAGGTCCGGAGTGTGTTTGCAGCTTGATATTTTGTTTGAATGTTTCTCAAACCCAAATGTTAAAGCTTGTGAGATTTGCAGGGATTTAAATCATATAAACAACTTAAGCAAAAGTTGTGTACACTCTGAGTTGTTTTTTTTTTTTTTTTTTTACCTGCAGGAGCAGAATGAACTGAGGGAAACGTTGAATAGGTTTAACCATCAGGCCGTACAAGGTGATGCGGTCAACACTGGCGGCCTGCTTCTTCTGGAAATTGAAAAAGACAAATATTCACATATTCAGAAACTGTCAGTCCATAAAGAGAGGCTTGTTAGGAGACTCTAAGGAGCGTGAGTGGGTGTGAGTGGGTGGAGACATGGAAATCTGTTCGACGAATGAAGGGCTCGTGGCATCAGGTGTCGAGTCCTGATGACGGTCCCAACTGCATTCAAGAGGTCGTAGTTCAACACAGATTTAAAGTTACTGAATGAAATGTGACGGAATATAAAGTTCTAATACAAGTGGATGTCCACTGATGGTTGGTTCATATAATTTAATGTGTACAAGTATGTGTGTGCATAGGTTAGTATATCTGTATATATATTGATATATATACAGATATATTTATATATATATTTATATACGTGTGTTTGTATGTATCTATTTATATAAACATGCTCACAGTATATATACATATATACCTGCATATATAACAATAATAATGTCGCTTTCTTTATATAGACGTTTATACATATATCTAGATGTATAGATATATACATATAAGTAAATGTATATATAAATATACCAACCATGCAGACACACACATAAAGTATATATGTACACATACACATTGAAGTGTGGTGTGAGGTGCAAAACACAGGAACAGCAAGAGGGTGTCGTGTCCGAGCACAAAACTGTTAGAGTGTAGACCAGGGAAAACAGCGGTAGTCCTGAAGAACCAGCAGGAACATTTGTTTGACTTCTGCAGCCTCGTTCATTATTCCTGCTACTCATAGCACACAGTGCAACAACTGGAAACGGTATTCTGTGCCTAGATGTGGTGTTTTCTTTTAAAAATGGACATTTTTTTACCACAGATTACACTGAATTACATAACACATGGATGACAGTAGAATTAGGACAACGTTTGCATCACTGCAAGACAACAGAAGAAATATGATAACAAATTTTAGAGGCATTTTCTGGACTGGTGTTGGACATCAATTTTTGACATTATTTTTACAAAATAATGAATTTGTGTTTATTTCTGCAGCTTTAAACACAAAATTGTAATATTAATTAGAAATGGCCGTTTTTATCAGCTTGTTTTTATGCATGAACTTGATTTTGCGGAGAATGGAGGTTGTGGGGGTGGGTTTGTTTTTTTTGCTCCTCAGAGGGAGGCTTACAATGCTTGACTCTGAAAACACTGGTGTTGGCAGAGATGTTATAAAATTTAAAACCGCCCATGAGCTGTTGTGTCGAGAAACCCCTGGTAAAATTACTGTTAAAATAATTAGTAACGAGTAAACTATTGGTTTTCGATGATGGAGTCAAAGTGTGGCATGTCATCATAAAAAACCTGAAACTAGCTGAAGTAAAAACCTCCCAGATTACACAGACATTTTATTTTTCAACAGTCAAAGCTTTTCCTGTCATCAATCTTTTATCAATCAGCTGCCTGACACATTAAAACGTTCACGTCGAGATTTCCTGATTTTTCAGCCTTTTTTTTTTACCCCAAACTCGTGATTTAGTGAGTACACACTGGTACTTCTTTGCAATATGCAGCCTTCACATTACATCATTATGTCTGCCAACTGTGTTCAGACTCATCATTTAGACAACCCCATCCTTCACAATGTTCCTCACGGTCATGTGCACACAGCCGGTGCCGCCACAGTGTTTTAAAAATAACGTAATGAACTCTGTCATGTATTCTGTGCGTGATTTCCCCCAGACTGTTTCATGACAATTTATTATTTGGTTTGTTTTCACGATGCCAGTGAGAATAGTAACAGCCTGTTTTAGAGACAGCACAGTGTAAGGAAGGGTGTGGGGGATCGGGGGGAGGCAGGGGGGTGCATGTTATTTGGAGTAACATGCCGGACTGTCAGCTGTGTGATCTGTTTCTATAAATCTGCATTACGGCTCAATGATCCAGGTGCATAATCATGCATGAATGCTGGGGAACAAAGAGAAATGCTTAACTCTGAACATTCACAGCATTTCTCTGCCTGTTTATGCGTCATGGCTTTACATTCTGTTTTGCACAAATCCTACTTAATTTGCGAACTAAAAGGTCGGGCATGCAGCGCATCTTTACATTGTAATATATTTGTTTACATTTAAAACAGGGATTTTGAAGAAGTGTGGGAAGAATAAAGCTCATATGACGAGTTACTGTTTTGTTCAGGCAGGCCTTGGACTACTTGTTAAAGGATCAGGGTTGCTAGTTCGAATTCTAATGCCTACTGCATTAAAATAGCTCTTTCTTTATACCAAATTAGTAGACATGATTTTCTTTGAAACTGTATTTTTCAAGGACATATCAGTAAATCTGAATGCATTTCACATGAATCACTTCATGACCTCAACCTGTGTTTATCACCTTAAACCTCCAACATATAAAAGTCCTGCGTGTGCGTCAAGACTTGAACGACATTGAATCTGCCTAAAGAAAGCTAACTAGAGGAGACCATGGTTAGCAGAACGTTACAGTCCATAAAAGTCCTACATTCCTGTCCGATATGTCAGAAAGTGAAATAAATTATTTCTTCAACTGCAGAACCTGATAGTTGTCATTCTTTAGCTTTCTTCACAGTAGAAAATATTTTCTATTTTCTTGGAGAGCGGTACTTGACAAAACAGGTGTAACATTTTTAATTCAATTCAATTTAATTCATTTTGGATGACAACATAAATAATCTGTGTGTTTTATATCTTTCTACTTTTACAAACTAAAAGTATTATTCAACATTTTCTTATACTGTTCCTTTTCATAAGTGCTGAACTCATCCTGTCTGCATCTGGTAAACAAACCACAGGTAGATTATCGCCACCTGCTGGGCTGGGTTACCAGTGTGTCAGGCAAAAGATAAATAAGCAGAGTCTAAATAAGTGAGTGTTTTATTATTATTATTATTTAATCAAAATGAACGCATTAAACATTCCTTTTTTTCTTTTTGTTTCTGACTGCTGTTCAGGAGTTGTTTATTTATGTGTATTCTTTTTGTTTCTGATTGCTCTGTTCAGGAGTTGTTTATTTATGTGTAAATGTGGAATCATTTCAACACAGCTAAAAACAGCTAAAACAGCTTTTTTTTTTTTTTTGCTTCAAAAATAACCAACATCTTGCATTAACCCAGTGGATCTCACCTTTAAGAAGTCCAGAAAGGCAGGTTTGGAAAGACAGGCCTTTTTAATGAGAGCCATGGCACTGGTGAAGTTGTTCACATAATCACTGTACACATCCAGCACCATTGACTTGGAAAACTGTGGAAAAACAGAAACAAAGCGTAATTACCTGAATTTGTGAGAACACTTCTAATAATAAGACAGTCTACTGCTCTGCCATGTTTGATTATTTTGTCCTTACGCCCACAAACATCCACCAACCCTGTCTAGTAATTTCCTCTGACATCTTGAAATGTGTGGCTAACCATCCTGTTTGCTGGGGCGACCTGTGGGTAATTTCAATGTAAAGAGAGGCTGGAGAAATGGCCATTTAAGTATAGTGCTTTAAAAAAATTGGTTTGTTTACCATCACAGTTATTGCAACACCCTTCACGAGCCATTAAAGAGGTTAGTCTAGGTTGTGTGTTGTGTGGTAGACATTTATTCTCCCTCCTCAATTAAACTCACACCAGGCAGCTGATGGTGGCAGTTTGAGGAGTGATGTGGGGATTAGCAAATCACACCAAGGAATTAACCTTCATTGCTCACATCCTCCTTTAGGATCCTTCCTTCTTCCTCTCAGATATTACTACAATACTGTCCTCCCTATATTATTAACACTGAGTGTATATAGGGGTTATTCAATGAGAAATTTAATTAGGCTAGATTTACAACCAAATAAATTTAGCTGGGCTAGACGGCGGCTAACAACCAGGGGTAGCTAAGAACATTTGGCTCAAAACATAAGAATAGATTTAAAAAAATACAAGGGATGCATTGTAGCTAGCATGTTGTGAGGCATCTGTAGGAATTTCTGATTATTCTCCACATTTCTAATATACACATAGATAAACATATATAGAGTGTATAAATATATATGCACATATATTTATGTATGGATGTCCGTAGGGATATATAAATAAATATACAGTATATATATGTGGATATATATATATTTTTTTATATATTTATATATGTATATATGTACATATATTGGATCATATTGTATATTTATAGTATATTGTACATTGTATATTAAATGTCAAGCCAATACCAGAACATAGACTTGGCCCATTTGAGGTTGTGTCAGTGCCGTATCCGGCCCACAACCCACTATTTTTCGATACGCCAGGTCTATAGGATATCAATGAAGCAGCCACGTCCTGGCCAGTGCAGAAGGAAAGCTCTGCATTTACCAGTCATAGAGGCAGATAATGAGTTCATTTAATGGACAAACACGCTGCACAGAGCTCGGAAATTACAAACAGAAAACACTAGCATCCCAATATCACTGTAATGTGGAAATTTTCAGGCACCATTTATGGAAAGCTCCATCAGAACCTTAATTGAGTCTCTGTTTGGTGTCAACGCTCACTGTTTGCCCAAACAAAAAAAACTCTGGCTCATTAACAGACTGCTGCCAGAGATGGTGTTGTGATGTTAAATATTTAAAAAATGCAACGAAAAGCATGAGAGCTTCTAGCCAGATAATGTTGGAGCGTTTCCTTCACTGAAACACACACACACACACACACCACAGATAATGCAGCAAACAAGGCTCCAACTTCATTCTTCTGTTTGACACGCATCCAAACATGCACGCTCACCGAGGCAACAAATAAGTCACCGATCTTCTCGCAGCTGTCCCACTCGGCCACTCGAGACGCCAGTGCGATCTGGAACATGGAGTGACACTGTGTGATCTCTCGGATCCGGTAGAAAATAGGACGGATCTTGCGTGGACTCAGGATGTGCGGCTCTGCCTCCATCAGTGGTCTATGATACTCCTGGTGAGATTGTGAGTAGAGACGGTGACTTTTATGAGCAGAGATACATTTATACATACATTGGCTCTGTAACGTCCCTGCCTGGGATCAATAAAGTACTTCTATCTATCTAACCCCAGCGTATACATATATGTGTGTGTGATAAATCAGAGTCCACCTCTTCCTTTCAGCCCCACAAACAGACCAAATGAGTGGAAACTATCAAACACCCCGTGAATGGAGAACGATGGAGAAATGTAGTCATGCCGCCTGGAAGCACATCAATCCATCCGAAGGATTCACCCATAAAGCAGCAGTTGCCATGAGCAAATATGCTCAGAACTCAAGGTGACTTGTAATCATAAAAGACAGAATAATGACAACACTGAGCAGCTCCCAGCAGAGTTACAGATGTAAAAGTAACACAGTGAAGGAAGCGCAGTGACTGATTCTTACGTGGGTACTTTCACACACCCCAGGGCAGGGGTCGGCAACCTATGACTTGCGAGCCAGATGTGGCTCTTTTGATGACTTAGCTAACATTTCCTAACATTATAAGAAATGAATAATTCAGCTGACACTTTAATGTAAATCATTACAGAAAGTTCTACAGTGCTACGAATAACGTTCAGAATTTAAAGCATTCTAATTCTGCATTTGAGTCCATCTATTTTCTACCGCTCCTGCTCAGAGTTGCAGGTGGCTGGAGCAGATCCCAGCTGTCCTTCAAGGTGAAGTCAAGAAATAAACTTCCTTCCTTTGAATCAAAAAGTCAGCTCGCTCATTTATGGATAGCAAAACATTTTGACAACGTAGAAGAAAAAAAGGTGAGGACTGCCATACATTACAGCATGAATGTACAGAGGAACTTGGAGAGAGCAGGTTCTGCAGTGTGGCTAATATACAAAGATAACGGTCAAATATAAAACGGCACCTGAAGCTAAACCTCACAACGTATCAACCAGACTACAGTACAAAGCCATCAGCAAAACCACGCAGCAACAGAAGTCACATTAATGGTAAGAAGTATTTTATTTATTATTGGTTAGCTGCAGTATGACAACGTTATTAAAAAGAATAAATTCAGAACGTGTTGAAAAGAATGTGGAGCCAGTAAACATGGTCTCTTTGAATCAGGACAAGTCAAGTAAAGAGCATATTATGTTTAACGGTGTATTTAACAAGCAAACGACTGTAGTAGCCTTTATTTGTTTGTCAGAACAATTCCAAAATGACTGCCGTTTACATTAGGCAGGCATGGTATCAGGATCATTACCAATCCTTCATTTGAATACTCATACTCAACACCATGGGCAGATTCTGTGACTTTCCACTTCAACCAGCTCTGCACCAGTCAGTCACTGTTACAGTTTGATAAAGCACACCAGAATACGCTAATGTCTCTTCCCCATTAAACAGCACAGAGAAAAGATGAGGCGTTTACACCTCACCAAGTCACTTTCCTGTTGAGACTTATTCAAAACAACATTTGGAGTGGTGTGTTTATTGAAAATTGGAAAAAGTGCTACACAGTTTAAGTGAGAAAGACAGTTTTTTTTTTCATTTGAAATGCACAATTTGTGTCAAAACTCTGCTCACCTCCTGTTCAGCTGGATGTGTAAACTAGGCAGAAGGGTTCATTTTATTTATTCTAAGTTTTACTGATACAGAGTCTATCAGTAACATACACATTGAACATACACATATATAAATATATCATTTTATTTTATATTTTTTACTGCAGTTTCTTTTTTGTATTTTACAATATATTTAAGTCTGCACTATAAATAAAAATGTTTTTATTATTATTATTATTATTATTATTATTATTATTATTATCCCTATTATTATTATTATTATTATTATTATTATTATCCCTATTATTATTATAAATCTCTAAACACACAAACTTCAAAATCCTTAAATCCTTAAATGCAGTCTCTATTACCCAGACGGCCGTGGATTATTGCCAAATGTATTTTCAGTCAATAACTTCTGTAAGTTGTCTAATTTTTTTTTGAAATCTCTAAACACACAAACTTCAAAATCCTTAAATCCTTAAATGCAGTCTCTATTACCCAGACGGCCGTGGATTATTGCCAAATGTATTTTCAGTCAATAACTTCTGTAAGTTGTCTAATTTTTTTTTTGTTTGTTTTTAAAGAAAGACTGAACTCCACTCGCTGTGCAGGTTTCGACATGCACTCTCTTCACGTCAGTGTGAAGCTGCAGAAATGAGGGAGGTTGTTTCATCAAGATTAGTTACGCTGAGACACCCTGGTAATTTGATGGATATCACAGCCTCTTCTCTTCAGTGTAATTCATAATGGCTAAACATTGAAGATATTGCATGTGACAGAAGAAGACAGCGGGGACCAAACAACTCACCTGCAAGATTCTCCGCAGAGACTCCAGGTAGCTGCGCTCACTCTGAATGATGGAGCCCAGGATATGGCGTCTGACAACCTGCACAGAAAACATAACAGTCAGGAAATCAGGCACTAAGAGGACATGATGGGTCTGCAGTTAAGTACAGCACGGAATGACAGGCTATGATCGTGTTTAGGCGTTTGAGAAAAATAACACTGGAACAGGAGGAACATCTGTTTGAACACGGCCGCAGTCTGAGTAGGAATCAGTGGAAATGAGTTCGACCCAATTACATCATAAACAACATCTTTAGTTAGTCTTTGTTTTATTAGGGTTAAGAAACTGAAATGCAAAATGTAATATTTTGTACTAGTAGACACAGGATCACTGATTGGATCTCCGATTGGCTCTTATCTGACCTGCCTGCAGTCCAGATAAGGACTCATCTTCCATTAGGTCCAGTTTTTAAAGACACTAATAAAAAAATGTAATACAATTTGCAAAATTGCACCAATAAGTATAGCATCATAAAGACACTAATGCACAAAATTGCACCAATAAGTATAGCATCAATAATAAATGTTAATAAAAGAAAAGTATTTGTGAATATTTACGTGAGTTCATCTTTACTAAATGGAACTGAGTTTTGTTTTTTGTTTTTGTCATTTTGCCTAACAAACAGCTCTAAAAGCTCTAGGTCTATTACCTTGGTGAACAGTCTGGTTTTAATTACATAAAATGTATTACCAACAAAATTAAAATGAAGACTTTGTATAAAAGTGTATAAACAGGCAAAAGGGGAGAAAAATAGACAACAATCTGGTGCACCTGGTGACTGGTGAGACCCTCTGGCATGGGGCTCAGTTGTGGTGGTGGATGCTTCACTTCTGACACCGCCACATCCAGGTATCCTGCATCATCCTCCTCTTCTGCAGACAGAGGGGGGAGGGGGAGGGACAAAGGGGAAAAATACAGAAATGTTTTAAAGAAAAGCTCTTTGTGTGTGTGTGTGTGTGTGTGTGTGTGTGTGTGTGGGAGAGACTGAGACAAAAAGGGAACAGGGAAAAGGCAACCTTCAGATCTCACTGCAGCTGGAGACACACTGCGACACACAAAGTTTATTACCTCCAAAATATGAAGAGACTTCTGTGCTGTCTGGAAAAAAAGTACACAAGCTGATAAAACAGAAGAGAGGAGAGAAAGACAGAGAGAGAGGGAGACGGAGAGGGAGAGGGGGAGGGAGAGGGGGAGAGGCAATTTTTTTTGAAATAATATGAAATTGCTCAAAACAATAGTGCATCTGTGAAGGACTGAGGCAGACACACAGTTCTTCTCTGAACGCCGCACTGGCACCTCACTATTTCATGTCACTTCACCGTTCAAACTCCAAAAAGGGAACACAATTAACCCATGAATGTTGACACAAACATCGATGCCAGAAACGTCCACAGTTTCCATCAAAGGCTCACATGATAACAGAAGGAATGGGGGAAATAAAAAGACAATAGCGCAAAGATTTCCTGAGATCAACGCTTAAAAATAGCAGCGTTCGCCACTCTGCCTCTGTGATGGCTCGGCGATTAGGTGGAGGCGTGGGTAAGATGTATATGCAGTTTATGGAGAGCCTATAGACTCTTAGCTAAGGATGCTAATCTTCTATTGTTAAATGATGGGACGTATATTGTGTCGCCTGAGCTGCTTTGCACAAAGAACTATATTTGACACACCGTACAGTCTTCAATCTCTGTTCGGTTTCTATCAGTGAAACCGTCAGTCAGACTACACGGGTTGAATGGTGAAGTTTACAAACAGCAGAGTTACTGGCTCACACTTTCTGCACCTTACCTAGCTGATCTTTTCTCTGCAGGAAAGAAACTTTCCTCATGACGGCTATTTTAGTCTTTTCCAGCCCATCCTTGGTCCCGCTCCTCGCCGCCTTCATGAGCTGCTGGACCTGAAAAGAAAGGAGCAGAAACAAACAAGAGAGCGTCAGAGATCACGGAATCTGTCATGCTGCGAAGGCTTGATAATCTCTGGGGCTCCTCTGGAGGGAGATGAGAGAAGTGGCGCTCACTGGGCTCATCAAGAATCCCACCATCTGCGGCTCCCTGTGGGTCGCTGTGCAGCCTCTAATCACTGAGTCTATGAGCGTATCATGGAGAGATTATGGCAACACAGTGAGCTCCACATCACAGCAGCAGTTAGGTTGCACCGATTGAAGGAACTTTTGGCTGACCACAAACTCCACCCCGAGCATCACCAACCAGATCCCAAATAACCCAGAGTACACCCAGGGTTGTAGTATTTTTAAACTGATGTTACATCAGAACTGAAGGTTTTGAATTGTATTAAGTTGGGGACACACTACACTGTCTTTACTGTCTTTGAATTAAAAAAATGATCTATCCAGTTTACAGCAGCGGTCTCAAATCCAACTGAGGGTCACGTCAGTGTTCTGTCCCAACAAGAAGACCAGATATTTTAGAAAAAAATTTTTTTTTAATTTAACAATTTTATAATACTGCAGTGCAAACAGCTGGTACATCTGTACTTCCTATTCATAAACGACCAACCAAAGTATATTTTATAATTGAATAGAAGAACTACTGAATTAGTATTGACATGTAGTCACTGGCCAGATGTGGCCCCAGGTCCAGATGTTTGAAAGCCCTGGTTTATAGCCCACAGTCATAAATAAACAGCAATAAACTACGTTCAATTCAGCTCTTTTTTTGTAGTCCAGGTTTCCCTCGTCTGCACTCCCCCTCCTCCTACCATCCAGCTACTTCTGTTGCTGCTTCTACCTGACCATTAGCATAACAACAAAAATGGACCCTGATCCCTGATGTAACCCGACCCCTACCTTGAACCGATCAGTCACTCCAACAGCACACCTAACAACTGCCTTGTTGGCCTCTTACATGTCCTGCACCACCCTCACATCTTCTCTACCACTCCTGACTGTCTCATACAGTTTTCTTGCAGTGTGTCCTCAGCTTATGCTACAATGCAGTTCATTCAAGTAAACACATTAAAGGAAGTACGTGCCTTCAAATAGAACCAGGACAATTAGCAAAAAAGAAAGATCCTGACAGAGTCTCCAGAGAAAGTCACAGTTAACAGACAGGTTAAAGAAGGAGGTGCAGAGTCAGTGAAGCCTCAGGATCAGAAAAGATTAGAAGACAGCACACAGAGTTGTCGGTGATGATTATTTCTCTCGCAGTCGCACAGCAGAGCGCTCAGAGCTCTGCAGAGGAACAGTGTGATTTTCAGCCGTTCACTTTCTGCTGCAAATATACCTTGATGTCATAGTTGTGTTTGCCAGACAGCCTGGTGGCCAGTTCCCGTTTGGTCCTGGCACAGCGTTCCCTCAGCCGACGCACCTCAGGTGAGAGCTAAAGGTTTCGACGTGGACAGACAGGGTATGGGCGAAGGTCGCGTTAAATCACAAGAGGCGTGGTGGAGAGAGAAGAACAAACAAGAGAGAGGAGAAAGTAGAAAAGGGGAAATTGGAAAGGCAGAGTGATCAAGGCAAAAAAAAAAGCTACTCAACAAAGGGAAGTAATAAAGAGTGAAAGCACTATAAATGGGCAGTGATTAATACTGTGGAGGTGCACAGTAGGCAGTTAGCATCCAATTCAACTTCAAATGAGCAGTGTGAAATATCCGCAGGTACACATGTAGAAATTAGAGTTTAAAAACAATCTAGAACTACATGGTTTTTTAAATGGCTTGTCCAGCTGTGTGGAGGGACCTAAATATAAAAGTTAGTTTTATTTAACTCTTCAATTTAATCAAGCTAAAAGGTCTTGGCAAAAAAGAGAGTATCTAATTTTTTTATACCAAAAAAAAAGTACCAATGCAACATGAACGTCCAAGCATTAAACCTGGTATTTCTGGGTAAACACGCAGCTGCAGAGTTCACAGATGTGTAAAGATCAAAATGTGTCTCAACTTTACTGATAATGATTCATTTCAACAATGTGTGTTCATTATTACCACTCAGGAAGAAGAAAAAATGCCAGCGTTAGTGCACGCATGTTAAAGGACGAATAGGGGAAAAAATGTGGTACGGTGTGAATGTGCAAACAGTGCCATCATGTGGACGCTAGTGACACTGTAGATGTGCCGCAGAAGGCAAGGAGGAGCAAAGAAAACAACTTTTTTAATTGTTATTTTAAAGTATAAAGACATAGAAAGGTATTTATACGATTTTGATCATTTTTGACAGTTTCTTTAATGTTAGTTTTCACTACCTGGTAAATCCAATAAGGCAACTTCTGTGAAACAATCCAGTGGCTACACTTTTTAGAGATTTTATTATTGTTCACAAACCACACAGGAACTTGTCCCTATACTGCAAGCCCAATCCAGCAGTCACTGGATTCCAGTGGTTTCCAAAGTGTGGGGCGAGGACCACCAAGTGTTTTTTTTTTTTTTTCTAATTTTATTTTACATATCATTACATGATTACTACTAAACCGCTGCAGTGGGCTGAGGGCTGCCCTGTTAATAAGGATAATAGAAATAAAAAGGATAAATTACACTGCACTGCTGCACACACACACGCACACGCCCATAAGTACCTTGCTCCTGGTTGGCAGTTTGGTCTCGTTGTCCGAGTGTTCATCGTAGCTCTCAAACTCACTGGAGCTCCAGCCGTTGTTTGCATTCACAGGACCAGCGTCTCTCTGCACGTCTTCATAAATCATGTCTGCTGAAAGAAAATGTAAAAAAAAAAAAAAAAGGCTAAAAAAGATGTCCTAAAACGGGGGGGGGGTTTGGTCTGTTTGTGCCTGCTGGTAGAGAGGGCCTGTTCTCATTTACAGTTTTAGACCTAAAGCACAGTTTGGTCAAATGAGGCTAGTGTGTCATTTTCTGAGTTTATCCAGCTTTCCAGGATAACTTGGATATTTACAGGGGTGACAGTTTTTTTTAGGAAATTACATTACACCACGCTATGCTTGCTTCAAAGACAGTCTTAGCTGATCAAAACTACTGCATAACACACCATTAAAGAAAAATGAAAAAAAAAAAAAAACAAAGGCTAGAACAGATGTCCTAAAACGGCGGTTGGTTTGGTTCTGTTTGGCCTACTGACCTTCATCAGGAGAGAGAAGGTCCTCGTTAGGAACATCATCGTAGATCACCTCACACAACTGTGAGGCCTGGGGCTGGACGCCGGCCACGCAAACTGATCACAGAGACAAGAAAAACAAGAAAAGTAAATGTACTGTGTGGAGATCGTGTCTCTATCCTTAGTCTTTTGTTGCTTAGCTGCACACTGGATCAATTGGATTGATTGTCCTAAACAAATGCACTGCACATTATCTGAATCTGTTGTACCACCCAGAGTACAACTGAAGAAGAAGACAAATACTTAGAGGGTATTATTGCAATACTTGTTTTTGTTGAAATGTAGCGATTTTTGAATTTACTAAGAGAAAACCTGGATCGGCTGATTAAAGGGTTAATGTGACGTCTTTGTCCATGTGAGGAGACGAACTTCCTGGTGTGAGATATTGACCCGTCGTGTGCTGCTCTTGACAGCATTTGTCATTAACTGCTTCCAGAGTGTTTCAGGATAATTTAGCTCAGTGAGCTTTATTGATTTAGTTCTAAATCCTGATTTGTCTACAACAACTTCTACTCCACCCCCAACCCCGNTTGCAGATGTGTTTTCTGTCACGGATCATTCACGAGCGTTCAGTCAGAAATTACCTTGTGCACGATCCAGAAGGAGAACAAAGACAAACTATTTCTTTTTTTTTCTCCAAAACAGGATTAGCAACACGAACGTTCCCCAATATCGTCAGGCATTCAGACAGAGAGAGGATTTGGGATCTTTAAAACACAATGGATTTTTAATGACACATTCAAGACGTGAATAAAGCAGAGACTCTCGCGTCTAATTGAAGGGTTTTAACTGAAGGTTTGCAATAAACATTCAGGAAATAAAAACATTTTTTGATGCCTAGACCAAATTAATTGGGCTCGGTACAAAGAAGCTGGCTGTTTTTGTAATATTTGGCTGAGAATCCTCTGCGGTCAATGGCTGTTTGAAGCATTTGGGCAAAGACCAAATGAATTTCAAAACTACAAAAGCTCTGCCAGGGTGCTGACTGCAGCTGCCTTTGGTTGGGGCCAGTTTGTTGGTTATTCCAGCTCTGTTTTTTCTTTATAAGTAAAAAAAAAAAATTTTATTGTTAAATGTTGAATGACTTGATGATTGGGGAACAAACCTTTTCTCTGCCACCTTGAATTGTTGAATTACCTGTTAAAATGGATCGTTTACCTAAAAAGTCCCTGTAATTTTAGAACACTGAAGTCATTAAATTAAAGTTGAAACTTTAGAAACCAGACAGAAAAGTTCCATCTCGGTCCAGACACTTACGGACTCCGCTCTCTCACCAATTCACTCTCTCTACTTTAGTTGAAGTAGAGAGAGTGAATAACAAAGAAAACAACTGGGTTTCAGGCTGATTTATTCCGACTTTAAAATATCTGCAAAGCAGCAAAGCCTCTCGGGAACACGCCTTGTTATTTCTCCTGCCTGCATTTTCTTTTATTAAACTTTTTTTGTCTCTTACCCAGCACAATGGTCCTCAAGTATACAGACTCTGCAGGAGATCACAGAATTATTAACAAACTTATTATGAATATGTTGTTTGCCTTAAGAAACAGCGTTCAGTGAAATAACTCCACGTCACAACAGAAATAAATAAACAGTTGGATATCAACCAGGTTTGGTCAAATTGAAATGTATTCTGTCAACCTCACTGATATGTTCACCGTCTAAATGTTGAAACACAATTATGGCACTGGGACAGACACGCCATCAATATCACTGCACCGGCGTTCATTCGTCTTCTGTCTGTTTGCTTTGTGTGCAAATGTAGAAATACACATGAAAAGAGGAGAGGAGAGAGATAAAAAATAAATAAATAAAAATAAAATTGTCGTGCAGCAATGCAGGGCTCCTTTACATTTCTCATTTCTGAGCCACCTTCAAATAACGGCAGCACTGCTGACTGAGTTGAAATCCAAAAGCAATTTTCCCTCATGGAAATGGTTCTCTATTGATCCTCATCCTGAATTAATTGGATTCATGTCATGTCTATGTAGAAATCAAATCAAAGCAGGGGGGGGGGGGGGTGGGGGGGGGGGGGGTGAGAGAGGGAGTTGGAAAAGAAGAAGAAAGAAAGAAAGAACACACATTCTTCTCTCTCTCTCTTTCCATGTGTGTTTGTGTGTTTATGTTTTTATTTCTGTAATAGTTTGTACAGCTAAACTTGTGGGGACATACATTTGACAAGATAAAAGTGCTATCGCTACGGAGACACTGTTTTGTGAGGACGTCCTGCAGACCTCCACTGACTCTTTCTCGGCAGTTCAAATTAATTACATTTTCAATGGTTTTTCACTTGCGGGACTTGTGAGACAGTGGGTGTGTAAATGTGGAGAAAGGGGGAATAAAGTCATGCTTGTGTGACGTGTGTGTGTATTCCTGGTTTAGCTACATCTCTTTGGGTTGTTTTATATAAAAATAATTACGATAGACATAGAATCAGGGGCTAGGAAAAAACATTAGGCCTATTGAACTGCTCACAAAACACTGAAACCACTGTGTGTGTGTGTGTGTGAAAGAAACTGCCCTAACTCCATAGAAGACATAGTGTAGCCTATATGTATGTTTGGACAAAGACATTCATCTTCATTTATACACTGTGTGTGTGTGTGTCCTTCACCGTAAAAATCAATGAGACAACAGCCGGTCTGTGATATGACGACTTTGTCAGCTTTCATCAAGGTGAACAGATGCAGCGTGCTAACACTTCATCAGTGCACCTCTCCTCCAGCCAGTATCATTACAGCCTGGACCACACTATTGTTTACTCCACTCTGGTCCGGCCTGGTTGTCTATCAGCTCCATGTGTGATGTGAACACAATCACAGAGGTGGAATGAGTCTGATTCCCAAGACAACCTTGGATTTAATCTTTTCTGGCTAAGGAATTGAACCCCCTGATCTACAGTATAAAGGTGCATCACTTTCCCATCAGTGTATAATCTAGTTCTGTACCTTCAGCGGCGTCCCTGGAGTCAGAGAGTTCCCCGAAGACTCCTGTCTGCTGTCGTTCTGCTGAATCAGCCGGCGTTTCCTCCACAGCTGACGGCGCCACAGGAAGCCCCCGCACCTCCGTTCCCACACAAGGAGCCGAGGTAGCCGGCCTGTGTGCTGCCGAGGCCCTGGAAGGTAACCAAACATTAGCACACAGTTAAACTAACACTGCCGAGAGCCCGGGAGCTCAACACAAGTTCATCTCATTGAGAGGAACGGCAGGCGGAACGGCTGGAGGTGGGGGTTGGAACAGACCCCGTCTGTCCAAGCATGCAAACCCACACTCCATACTAACTGACACGACGCACACTGCTGCTGTCAGTTTATGATGATGATTTCCATTTTCCAGATTCCCATATTTAACCTTGCAGAGCAGTGTCAGAGACAGTCAATGTGTTTCCATTACCTTTAGTATTAAAGCCAGGGTTTAGGCCAAAGAACAAGCGTTTCACTGCACCGTCTGTATAATTTATACAAAACAGATCTCAAAACGCCGGATTTTCAAAGTCAAACACTGAAGGCCTCAGTTTCAAGGAGCGACAAGACAACAGCAGCTTTGAACCCTCGCACATCCATTCACAGACGACATCGCCAATATTAGTAATATTATCTTAATTTTTGGACTAACTTCAAAAAATTATTTCTATATAATATTTTTTAAACAATACATTAAATTAAATACATTTTATAGAATCATTTTTACAAAATACATTTTATACTTCTTCTGTTTTCTCGCAGTAAACCCATCCTTAAACTTCCTAAACACTTTTTTATGCGAGTTAGCTAGTTATTTTGTTCCACCAATATTTTTCTTTTTTTTTTGCCTCCCTTGTAGTGTTCAGGCGCCCTCTAGGGGAAGCGCTCTAAAGAGCACTACAGTGGACTCTCAAAGGAAGAAATTATTTATAAAAAAGGAACTTTTTGTTGCTAATATTTCCATAATTTATCAGTGCACCGTTATTGGGCCGGCTACAGTTCAGTAGGTAGGGCAGTTGTCTGACGGTCGGAGGGTTGTGGGTTGGATTCCAGATTTAGTAGCTGCACGTCCAAGTACAGTCTACTTTACCATTTACTGTCAGACAACAAACAATTACTACAGTCATGGAACATTTTAATTAATTGATTAAAACTTTAATGCAACTTCCAACACTGTAAAACAGAGAGACAGATGTCAGTTCACCACTGGGTCACGCCCCTCCTCTTTTAATTACATGTACAGTCTCACTGTCTGATTATCCTTTTCATGATCATCAAATATTTTCAATAGGAGACAGCAGGCAGTTCAGTTACGTACACACACACACACACACACACAGATTACACAGATTAGCATCAAGTTGCGAGGCATAAACAATGGAACTTTACAGAGACTTTTGTCCGTGCTCCTCATAAACGTCTTGTCTTGATAACAGTCAGTCAGACACGACCTTCTCAATCTACGCTTTTATTTTTATTTATCATTTTTAACTATTTATTTTATTTAATTACTTTATTTGTTGCTCTCTATTAATCTCCTTAGGGAATTTCCTCACTGCGTTTGATCAGAACCACTCCCAACACTCAGGGAGTTCAGGGAGTACGTGTTTCAAACTCTGTGCCGGGATTCAAACCAGCAATCCTTTTGATTTCATTATTTATGTATATTAAACAAATCAGATGAAAAGGCCAAGAGTCCTTGACTTTTCCTTTTTTCTGTTTAATCAAGGAACAAGTGAATCAAACTACAAAATACTGCTTTCAGCCATTTTGGTTGTCCAAAAAAAGGCCACCTTTAAAACCTAACTTTGGAATTATTCAAATAAAATAAATTATTTCACACAATAATGTGTTCAAACGTCTGCATTATTCAGAGTACGTGGGACCCACTTGTTCCAACGCAGCGTGTGCTCGGCTGTATTTCAATAAATGAAACCCAACTTGTACTTGTTATTTAATTTGAGCACTGTCACGTTATCATCGGCCGTGCCTGCGGCTCAAAATTACCTCCACCGGCAATTTGTGTGTGAAAACATGCAATGAACCAGCTATTAAAACAGACTTTGACATCGCAGGGGGAAATGTTGTTGACATAACCGTCACATGACATGTGTTGATGCTGCCAGAGAGGACCTGTCCTCCCCCACATGACTAATAATACGACAGGATCCGTGGCGTAGGAGAGAGCCATTTACACTAATTAAATCCGTTCCTTTTCTAAACACCTCAGCAGCTCTCATCATGGCAGCAGCATTAGCCAGTCACACTGATGGGCAGCTCGTGGATAAAAACATACCACGCCAGGAAGGAAATGTGTAAAAGGGAAGGGGTGCTAAACTGTTGGGGCGGCAGAATCGTTCCAAAATTTGGAAGCTCGTGCCGGGTTTATTTACTGAATATTCAGCAAATTATTATCTCTCCTTTGGCAAAAATTTTAAGATATACTGATATACAATTGCTTAAGATTGTGTGTGTTCTTTTAATTATGATTTTAAAAAGAATAATAATTAGTTGAAAAAATATTTTTATCAGTAATTGTTTCCTTGTCAATTATTAGACTTTTCAGGTAACCACAATTGAATCACATGAGGTTGAAACTCCAAGGTTGAAAAACACTGACAAATCAGGACTTTCAGTGTGTTGTACTAAAGTGTGAGCAAATATATTTTGGTCATAATAAGTCATATAGTCAATAAAAAGTTTTGCCGTTTTATTTCCATTGCCATTTTAAGATGAATAAAGTACTATTCTATCCTATATCCAAAGCAAACAGCTAATGCTTCTTCTGGCTTAAATCAGTCAGCGGGGAGACACATCACTTCACTGTTGTGTTTGTCAGAGGACCAGTTTAAAGGACCTTGTTTACATAGTATAGTAATGGATGCTAGGATGTATGATTGGACTATGACCGTTTGAAAATAACAAAAATAAAAGGCAGTGAGCAATAGGGGTCCACAATAATACTTTTATATGTATATGTATATATATATATATATATATATATATATATATACACACATATGCTATGTGCTATGAATGCAATGTGGTCAGGGTCAGTAGTCTTGTGAAATAATCATGATTATGACTTCTTCACCTCATCCATCAGCATTTATTGTAACACATCTACACTGGTATAAAAGGTGCTGATAGCCACCACTGGGATCGGCTGCCAAACGCAGCTCCGGCAGCCAAGTGCCACACGGCTGCTGCACCACCCACCTGTGATATAACGGACCATTCGTCTCCTTTTAAAGAGTCAAACTACCTGCCATTTATCAGCACATTTCTCACAACAAACTTGTGTCTCATCATTTAAACTCTATTAGTGGAAACCAAGTGGAGCTGAGGTGTGAGTGATTTAAGCAGCGCCTCCACAGATCCAGGCACTTCTGCATCTGCACGTCCCTTTACAACTAATCTGTGCCCATAAGCCGTAGTGAGACATACGGTTCCAGGAGAGACATCGGAATCATTCTTCAATGCAAATGACCCAGCCTGGAGCAGAGCGCAGCCCAGAGTAGGAGCTGCCTGAATGCAAATTACCACAAGCCCCCTCTCTGACTGTGCCAGGACAGCACAGTATGACATATGGCTACCTGTTTGCCCCCCCCACCCCCCCGTGATGTCTCCCGGGCAGTACTGCTGTGCTTTATTAATGCACATGCATTGTGCTCAGTAGACTGATGTTGCCCAGTTTGACCTTAGGTCATAAATCCCTCTGTAAACAATTGCCCTCTATGTGTATGAAACCATTCCCATGACACAGTGTCGCTGCCAAAAAACTGTTCAAGACATTACAGATTAAGATAATATAGCACTTTGCTCTATGAATTAGTATATGTACTTGACTTTAATAACTGAAGACATTTTCTCTGCTTTTACAGCTAAGGTGAAAAATGTCTTCAAAAAACACTTTAGGAAAGTTCTACTTCACACAAAGCCCCAACGTCTGACGCTGTGCAGGAGAACAAAAGGGTAAAAAGAGAGGGCAAACACAAAGCTGCAGAAATGGGTGTGAGACGAGTTGGAAAACACTGGATTCTCTTACGTACACAACTCCCTTCGAACATAAAACAGACACACAAATGCCACGGTGTCAGTATCCACTGTGCTGAAATGTGACTGAGGCAATGTGTGGGGTTTTTTTTAATTAAAACTGTCTGTAAAAGAGTGAAAAGTGAGGTCTGATGTAAATGTTTGGCATCAAACATGGAGTATTTAAAGGCACAGACTCACAGCAGAGAAATGCTGCCTGTGACCCAGTAGAGGGGGTGACATCATGGTACTGTTGGGGGAAAAACTGCACCGAGACTTAAAACCTAGTTTAATTAAATACAGACAAAACACCAAGTTACTAAATAACACATGTAATAATTTTTCAGTCACACTGGTAACTGATGCACCCCAGCCCAGCAGGTGGCAGAAATGCACCTAAAATGAATTTGCCAGCTCAAGAAAATCTACATGATGAACTGAGAGACGTTAGTGCAGTGATGGAAGACAAATTCACATCACTTGTCTTGTTGGGCAGACTTGTTTTTCTAACTGTCCAATTGCAAAAAAAAGTGCACTTCAAGCATCCGTCATCATGTTATTGCTAAACATGCTTCAGAAAGCACAGATGTGAGCCACAATCACAGGAGTTCAGAGTAAAAAACGCCTCAAATGTGATATAATAGCTGTAAATGTACTGCGACTTGTACTACTGTGACTGGAAAGATAAAAAAAACTACACAGATAAACATGCAAAAAGTCCAAGATTCTGCCATTAATATATATATATATATATAAATATATATATATATATACACGGCTGCTGCACCACCCACCTGTGATATAACGGACCATTCGTCTCCTTTTAAAGAGTCAAACTACCTGCCATTTATCAGCACATTTCTCACAACAAACTTGTGTCTCATCATTTAAACTCTATTAGTGGAAACCAAGTGGAGCTGAGGTGTGAGTGATTTAAGCAGCGCCTCCACAGATCCAGGCACTTCTGCATCTGCACGTCCCTTTACAACTAATCTGTGCCCATAAGCCGTAGTGAGACATACGGTTCCAGGAGAGACATCGGAATCATTCTTCAATGCAAATGACCCAGCCTGGAGCAGAGCGCAGCCCAGAGTAGGAGCTGCCTGAATGCAAATTACCACAAGCCCCCTCTCTGACTGTGCCAGGACAGCACAGTATGACATATGGCTACCTGTTTGCCCCCCCCACCCCCCCGTGATGTCTCCCGGGCAGTACTGCTGTGCTTTATTAATGCACATGCATTGTGCTCAGTAGACTGATGTTGCCCAGTTTGACCTTAGGTCATAAATCCCTCTGTAAACAATTGCCCTCTATGTGTATGAAACCATTCCCATGACACAGTGTCGCTGCCAAAAAACTGTTCAAGACATTACAGATTAAGATAATATAGCACTTTGCTCTATGAATTAGTATATGTACTTGACTTTAATAACTGAAGACATTTTCTCTGCTTTTACAGCTAAGGTGAAAAATGTCTTCAAAAAACACTTTAGGAAAGTTCTACTTCACACAAAGCCCCAACGTCTGACGCTGTGCAGGAGAACAAAAGGGTAAAAAGAGAGGGCAAACACAAAGCTGCAGAAATGGGTGTGAGACGAGTTGGAAAACACTGGATTCTCTTACGTACACAACTCCCTTCGAACATAAAACAGACACACAAATGCCACGGTGTCAGTATCCACTGTGCTGAAATGTGACTGAGGCAATGTGTGGGGTTTTTTTTAATTAAAACTGTCTGTAAAAGAGTGAAAAGTGAGGTCTGATGTAAATGTTTGGCATCAAACATGGAGTATTTAAAGGCACAGACTCACAGCAGAGAAATGCTGCCTGTGACCCAGTAGAGGGGGTGACATCATGGTACTGTTGGGGGAAAAACTGCACCGAGACTTAAAACCTAGTTTAATTAAATACAGACAAAACACCAAGTTACTAAATAACACATGTAATAATTTTTCAGTCACACTGGTAACTGATGCACCCCAGCCCAGCAGGTGGCAGAAATGCACCTAAAATGAATTTGCCAGCTCAAGAAAATCTACATGATGAACTGAGAGACGTTAGTGCAGTGATGGAAGACAAATTCACATCACTTGTCTTGTTGGGCAGACTTGTTTTTCTAACTGTCCAATTGCAAAAAAAAGTGCACTTCAAGCATCCGTCATCATGTTATTGCTAAACATGCTTCAGAAAGCACAGATGTGAGCCACAATCACAGGAGTTCAGAGTAAAAAACGCCTCAAATGTGATATAATAGCTGTAAATGTACTGCGACTTGTACTACTGTGACTGGAAAGATAAAAAAAACTACACAGATAAACATGCAAAAAGTCCAAGATTCTGCCATTAATATATATATATATATATAAATATATATATATATATATACATACATACATGTAAACATATTTTCAATATTTTCAAAAATATCATAGTGACGTGTGTTACATAAATACCAAAATCTTCACCTTTAAGTGTGATAGAGTTTACTTTTTTTACAATAACAACCACAATGTGTACAATAACCTGTTATAATTACAGTTTTGTTTTTTAAAATCTCCAATAGTTCATATTTTATTTCAGTAATTTCTTTTTTTGACCTGCAATGTTTCATATAAACGTATAAAGTATCCGCAAATTCAACAGCATAAATGTAAGAAACGTCAAGCTGATCTCTCTATTACTATAGCACTAGGCTATACTGTACTTGTTTATACCGTGTACTGTATGTACTGCTGTACTGAGAACACTGTGGAGTTCTCTACTGTGAGATGAATCAAGGACTTCATCTCTCATCTTTACATTAAAATGAGAAATGTTGTGAAAAAAAACCTCATATTCAGATGAATATTTCCAGTAAGTTCCAGGTACTACTGTATTTACCAGTACTAAGAGAAAAAAAGTAAGAAACAAGTTCCTGCTCCAGTGTCAGAGTGTCTCTGTCTGTGTTATTGTACAGAGCCGGTGGCACATGCACATCTGGAGGATGTGCTGACAGTCTTCACACCTTGACCGTGGGCAGGTTCTATTGATAGATGCTCTATTTAAAAGGAGACAACTGACTGAGGTGGAAACGTCCACTCAGCAGATATCAGTGTCCACCGTTGCAGAGTGAGGACAGAGCAGAGAGTCAGTTAAACATGTGTTAACACCTGTGCAGTAACAGCAGGCCCCTCATTTCAGCACAGGAAAAAAAAACACACAGGAATCCAATCTGTAAAGTCAGGCACCAGCAAAGGTTTCTGAGCAGACTTCCTACAAGAACAACTGCAAGACCGCTCCGAACTCAGGGGCAGCTCCACCGCCACCAACATTAAACATTAAACCAGCGGCCAACGTAGGTGTGATTCCATTTAAACCACTTAAAAAATGAAAATAAGTTAAAAAGCCGGCCTATTAAATCATTTTAGTACAGTTCCAGGATTTTTTTTCTTCTTGTTTTTTACGACAATCTGTTGTTGTCGAGTTGTGCGTATGTGTGTGCGTTCACACACATTAAAGGACCTGCATTTATTATTCGAGGGTTTATATCTTTATGTTTTAGTCCAAAATCATGAGACTCCTGTTGAGTCGTTAAATAGGACGACAATCCTCCCCCGTCCAACGGGGGAGGAATCAATAAACTATTTCATTATCAAACACTGTGCTCAGACCTTGAAGCAAACTATCTTTTTGATTGTGTGAAGGACGTAAAAGACACCCATGACTGCACTCAGCCTCAGATGTGCACAGAAATAAAGAATTCCAAATGGCCAGAACGCATTTCTCCACCAAGGTCACGTCATGGTAAACACGCCCGTGTAAGATAAATGAAAGGGAAGGAGAATAAAGCTGATAATCTGTACCAAGTCTTACCTTCCTTCTTAGGAAGAAGTGATTAAAAGGAAAAAAAACTCAATTTCTTTCAGGAGCTTTGCAGCAGAAGTTAATTAGATTTTCTCTGACCAAGAGCTAATCCTTCGACACAAGGTTCTGTAAAGTAATAACTTTATATAAAAAAGAATTATATATATATGTATTTTCTGTTTTATAGTTTCCTTATAGTGTACTGTATGTGGTAGGACTCTATTATTAAAGAAATGACTTCTTTTTAAGTTAGAAAAAACTACACAAATACACCAATAGTAATAGTAATAGAAATAGTATTTTCAATGTCACAATGTCTCCAAAGGTGTAGTAGTTTTACATTATCAACTCACAGGAGAATTAAATAATTAGGAAAATCAACTGAAAAATCTAAAGAAGCCAAATAGTGTTACGTGGCTGATAAAACTTGGACAAAAAAGTTCAAATCTTAATATTTTAATATTAAATATTTAATATTTTTTTCTTCTTTCGAAGGTTTTCTAAGAGGACTTATAGGATATTTTTTTTCTTCTTTCGAAGGTTTTCTAATTTCTAATATCTCTTTGTTTTGATGACATCATCCCCGTTCCTACGCCTGTGCCGAAACTAAGGTCTCATGATTTTCCACTAATGATACCACCCACGGTACAAAGGGTCAGGACCCAACCTCAGTTTCCTGGGATCATATTCAGAAACAGCAGAGTCCTCACCGTAGATGATCGTTTTTAACTCAGTTTCCAAAAGTCAAAAAATAATTACATTACTAAACTTTGTTTAGGTATCTAGTACTTTCCCCCACACTATAAGTGAGTATCAAGTTGTATTTACTTTGTCATGTGTAAAAAATATAAAAAATGTTTGCATTATTTCAATTCTAGGAAAATGAAGTTAACCTCTCAATAAGACTATAATGATTTCAATATAATGAATTCAAAAAGACAGGAAGGGGGAAAAAAGGCCTCAACATGTTCCAAAAAAATTTTGTCATAGGATTGGAACTGCAGCAACAAATTTCCTTCATAATTTCAAAACAAAATCAGTTGGTTTGGAATAAAAAAACAACAACAATATCTCAGGCCTAATGACATGTAACAAATGTGTTGTCCTGCAGGGGTTTGGTCAGGTTTTTCCTACAGTGTGTTAGAAAATCAGGCAACTCACCAGCTGAGTGACTCAGAGACTGGAACATCTGTGGAGAAGAGGAAAACAAAAAAACTCATGAGGCGTACATATTCAGAAGGAAAACTGTTCCAAGGAAACATGAAAAACACACATAGATTATCAATTAAAGGACAATTACAATTACTTTCTATCCTGTCAAAAAATATTCATGTACACTCTGTGTGTGTGTGTGCATGTGTGTGTAAATCCTCAACAAAAAGCTGATTTTGGCAGATCCTACTTTAGTTCCAAACAATGACATGTACAAGGAAGACGCTGTCAAACAAATGCCATCTTTGATTTTTCCTGCAGACACCACCATGTAAATTCACGTCGTCTGCTGTGGACGCAGTGAAGGAAAAAAAATATGTCAAACTCTGCTGCTCAGAAGTCATTGATTGCATAACAAATCTCCACTACAGCCCAGAATTCCCCCTGCACATCTCCACAGCTTACATTAAAAGATTACCACATTGAGTCGGTAAGAAAAAGAAAAAGATTTTTAAGAGAGCACTAACAGGTCCACTGTGTCCACATGAAGTCATCCAGGACTAACGTGTCTCTCTCTCTCTCTCTCTCTCTCTCTCTCTCTCTAGCTGTATTTACAAGCAGCTACAGGAAAATTATTAGGCAGGTAGTAAATACATCACACTTACGTAAATAACTTAACGTTATTCACTTAGGAGGGAAAAGTCAACTCTATTCTAAATGTCTGCCTGCCTGCCCGCGGCAACAATTGCATTCTGTTAAATGGAAATTAAAAGTTACACAACTTGTGGGACTCAACAGACCTCACACACGTGCAGGTACGGGTACGGGGGAAGTGTTTAGGGCCAATCACAGGACACATTTTACATTAGAAGAAAATATTGTAACACAAATTCTTACCAAAATAAATTCATGAATTAATGTAATCACATATAATGATCTCCATATTTTTATTTAATCACAACTTAGTCTAACCTGTGAAATCTGGCTCCTGTTTAGTTGAACACAATGCTAATGTACTTGCAGAAATAAATGAAAGAAACAGAAAAAGATTTTAAAAAAACAGCTCTGAGTTTCCTTGCTTTATGTTTCTTTTATGGCTGCCACCTAGTGGAAGAGTATTTTATCTTCCACCTGTCATTGTCACACAGACAAAGAAAGAGAAATTATTCACAGTAACTAGATAATAGTTTAATTAAGATAAATGGATGGATAGATGGATGGATGAATGGATAAATCCATCCATCCATTTTCATCCGCTTATCCGTTACCGGGTCACAGGGGCAGCAGTCACCACCCAGATCACACTTCACCATTTCAAACCCCCTGAACCTTCCTGTGGGTGGTGAGTCCACTGGAAGGTACCAACCGCCCTAACCGGGATTCGAACTTGCCCAGGAGGTGAACCCTGGGGTTCCACACCAATGACAGAGACATTGACTCTGGGCCAAAGCGCCACTGAATGAATAAATAGATAGATATTTTATTTTGTTTAATTCCAAATTTTGTAACCCTATTTACCGGCTGTGGAGACTGGCGACACGTCCTTGGCGGTAACATCCTCCTGTCCAGCAGAAGGTGACGTTTGGGGTGACAGTTGTGTCTCATCTCCGTTTGTCACCACATCTGATGTTTCCTTGTTCTTCTCTGAGGCCTGAAGAGAAGTGACACGGTCCAGGCTGACACCTGTGGACTCCTCGCCAGGTTTCTCCTCATCTGTGCTGTCATCAAACACAAACTCTTCTCCTTCCTCCTCGTCATCGTCCTCTCCGTCCTGCTTCAGAGGTTGGTGGGACATCACAGTTGACATAACGCCTGAAAGAAATGGGACAGTATTTGAGCTTTTAATAACTGTGACTGAGGAAAAATCAAATGTACTCCATAAAAGACCGGCCCCAGGCTCCAGAGGAGAGCAAAATACCATTAGAGGAGAAATGGACTCATTAGATATGATAATGGTCACATTGTATTCCTGTGAATATTTTAAAATGCAAAGTAACTGTTAAAAAAATCCACTTTTCTCTTACACTTAATTTGAACCCAAATCCTCCTGATTAAACTTCCAGTTTACACTTTTATAAATTACAAATTATTCATGTAGTGGTAAAAAGGTTAAATTAACTGCAGAATTCAAAGCTTTGTTTTATTAACACACTGCTGCTGCTGAACTAAACATTAGGTACAAGAAAAGAAAAGAAAACTTTGTACAGAACTAATAACAAAGCCGGAATGAACTCCTGAATTAACTTGCAGGTTAAAAAGAAAAATTTTAGTCTGAAATTCCCAGACTCCAAAGTAATAATTAGTTTAACAACATACAAAAACAACCAAAATAAAATATTTTTAACAAAAGTCCTTCAGACCAGAATGGAGAAATATCCAAACACATTAATCTTGTTTGAAAAAAAGGTAAAAGTTCTTTTTTTTCAGAAGCAACCAGGAAACAAATATAATCTATGGAAATGTAAATACAGTACATCCCAAAGTACTTATTAGCACAGATGGTGTGTATTTTGTCCAACCAGCATTTGCACTACCAGACATCACTATATCAAAATACTTACACGGTGACAGGAAATAGGTCAAAATATCAAAATAAAAGCAGGTTTTCACATTTAGTTTTTCTACCTTTTATCCTTATAGTCTAAAACAGAAGGTAAATATACTGGCAGTTCTGTAATAAACAAATTATGACCAACAGCATGGGAATAAAACTATCTTGAAACAGGTGTGCAATCAAGTAATTGAGATGAAGCTAAACCAAACCGATAAGGAACCTAAAATAAATATGCATCAGCTGTCACTGTTTGACCATAGTGCATGATAGGTCCACTTCCTGTTGAGAGTTACAGGGTTGCCATGGGCAGTAGACAGGATGTTAGTCGTTAAGAGTTGACCTACACTACTCAAACAATAAATAAATTCAAATAAAATAATAATAAACTGTGCAGATTAAGACATTTTTTAATGTGGTAGGTGGTGTGAATCAAGATGAAGAAAATAACATTTTGTATCACTTTCAACTGCAATGCATTCTAAAAAGTTAACTAAAAAGTTACTTTCAAAACGTTTATGAACTAAGGTTACTAATAACTGTAATGTCACAAGTGTTTTGTTTTTTAACATTAAAATACAAAGCTACAAAGAGTTGTTGCAAAAACAACTTATTAATTATGACTAAGTTACAATGAATCATCATTTGGCATGATTAGTCACAATTAATCAAGATAAATCAAAAATTATATATTAAAAAAACAACTCTGTTTGTGTACTGCTGCAACCAATGTATAAATATCAGCTTTTAAATACATGTTTTGTTCTGTTTTTTATTTAACTAATCCAAATGATGGCATTATTAATATGGACAAATGTCAAGAAAAATACCCAAACCCTTCAGGAGCCATAACTCCCTGAACATCTTTCTACTGACTCCTTTATTGCTCTTATGAACTTTTCATTTTTCCTGCATTTTCCTTTTATGTCTTCACTCAAGTGAGTTTTTCTTTGACACAGACACAGTTACTAGTACATACTAGTGTAACAGAATCTGCTTTGCATTTGAATGAGTACCAAACACCCACCAGAGCTGAAACACCGTTGGGCCTGATTGAGCAGTTTGTTGCGCTCCTTTGAGAAAATGACAGCATAGAGCTGGTACTCAGGGGAAAAAAATCATGGGGCGTGTGGGAAACGTACCGGAAACATGCTGCTTGTGGATCGTAAAACTCACTGCAAGCACTTCTTGTTTGACCTAGATAGAGCTGTCATAACGCCAGACAGGGCTCTAATTATTTTTTACTACAACTCAGGTTGGACAGGCAATTTGTCAGAACTGCACTTCAGGAGCATTTAGATGCTTTGTACCTCCAATAACCACCAGATGTAGAGGAGGACCAGGGTTTGACAACAGAGATCTTCAGTCTTCAGAAATGAATATTCCGCCTGATTACTAGTACAGTACAGTATGTCAGTCCGGCCTTTGGACCCAGTGCTCTCCTCTGTACCACAAAGAGGGTTTCTCCAGCCATCCCACTCTTTAGTCCAATCAACAATGACTCCTTTATGGAGCAAAAACTTCAGCTCAGCTACGGAGAGCATTGTTGCTTCATTCGTCACTGCAGATTACTCAGAGCCCATTTGAGCTATGGCTGTGTTTTGTGGCTTTGTTTTAAAATGCACGGACTAGAAAGTGTATGTAAGAGACAGGGGTGTCTTCTTTAAATGAAGTTTGTGGAAAACAAGGTCAAGTTTGGTTAAAACGTGTCATAAATAATAATGATGACAATAAAATACCTCTGAGACTCAAGATTTCCGGCTGGGAACGACAGGCTTTCTCCACAGCTGTGTTTGACAGAAGGCATTCGGACAAGTCATCAAACACACACACACCACCTTAGGAAAATAAAGATCACGGGAGTGGGAGCGGGGGTGGTGGTGTGTAAGGCTATTCCTAAGTGGAAAATGAGAACCATCACAGAATGGAGATGAAACTGACTCCTACACACCCTGTCCCTGACCCACATGCATTCCTGAAAACCACTGTAAACAAAGCGTGGTAATGAGCGCAGGAAAGAAGAACAGGAAGGTGAGAAATGTGTACATCCCACCTTTACCACCTTTAACTTATTTTGCAGTCTACACACCAACATGGGCAGCAAACGTGTAGTCTGCATTTTAACCGGTTTCTTCTGTCATTTGTACGAAGCAGTTCGGACATGCAGCTATCTGTCACAATCTGAAGTCTTCAGAACTGTTCATCCTGTGATCACACACTAGCGTAGCCCCATGTTTGACCTCTCGCGACCAAACAGCCTTTAGTCCCAGACGGGTGAGTTATATATCAATAGACAAAGGATTTAAACAGCAGCTGCTGATGACAGAATGAACAGCACTGGGAACATCTAACTGGGAGGCAGTGAGGGCAGGAGTACTCCAAGGCTTATGCTAAATGGAAAACGCAAACAAACACTACGCTGACAATGAGAGCAGTGGAGCATCGACATCAACAAACAGTGCCAGGCTGTGATGATTTGGCCTCTTTTTTTTCTTCAGTTTCCCATCGGATTTCCCAGTGACAGTTTAAGAAACTGACTCTCCAAGAACAGATGGAACGTGACTTCCTTGGCTTCATTCATAGATATTTGAAGATTTCTTTAAGAGAAGTGTTTAGGTGGGCATGCAAAGTTTGTTGTGTTGCCTTTTTTGTTGCTATCACTGTTTGGCATATTGGCTCATCATGTTGCTGCACTTTTTGTGTGTATTCTAGCAACCCCACCTTAGCGATTATCCTAAAGTACAGCAGATTCGAGATAAAGGTCACCCGGACAGTAGTGAGATCTGCTGTGATGGATGTTTTGGAGTGGTCTGTGAGCCGGAGTGAGAATGGACTGGAAAGTCATCAATGAACAGATTAAAAGGAGGCTGAGCAGTTTGGAGGTTAGGTTAGAGAGACGAGGAGGGATGGGATGAACGCAAAAATAGAAGATCCCAAAGAAAGTTCATAAACTGGCATGAAAATTATCAGTTTAACAGGAGAAGGGATAAACTGCAGCCAAAGAAAGAAAATTATTTCAATACAGCTTTGCCTGACTAAAGACTTAAGGACACATAAGAACATGAGCCTATTCCACTGAACATCCTCTCAGCCAACCTCTACCACTTTATCCCGTTAAGGGTTGTGAAGGGAGCTTAAGCAAATCCCAGCTGATGTCAGGCAAAATGTGCAATACGACCTGGACACGTTGACAGTTCATCGCCGACAGCACAAATGGTCAAAAAAAAATACCACATCAAACACTGTTAAAAATCACTAAAATTAAATGGGCTAGCAGATTTTAGGAAAGAAACAATCAATCCGGTCTACAAAAACAGGTCACCCTTTACAAAACTTATTCTACACTGTATACATATCAAGTCTAGTCAGTATTAATAGTATAGTCCAAATTCACAAAACATATTTGGCCTCAATGGACTTAACAGTTTTGAAATGAAAAAAAAAAAAAATCACAACCATAACATCTTGATTAATTAGGATAAAATGTCCTTGAAATAAATGACTATTCCAAATTGGAATTATTAATTTTCTTTTGTCTTTTAATTTTCTTTTTTCTTTTTGAAATTTCAAGAATATTACACAAAAGCAGACCTAAAGATTCTGCTAAAATATGTATACTTAAAAAAACAAATGACACACATTTCAAAAGCACATTTCAAAAACAATACAATTGATACCACGACACCATGATAATAAGTCAATACTCTACTGTGGTTATTGAGTTTAACCTTAAAATACTGGTTAGAGTCAAGGCAAAAGGTTTGCAGATTACAATATAATGCAGTGAGCACAAGTGTAATATCAGCTTTTTTATGTGTAATCTTTTTTATTTCCACTTCTCTCTCAGGTTTGCTGTCAGGCTGCAAGATATTTGGGGACGTCATTACTCATTCAGGAGCCAGACTGGCCTTCATAAGACCTCTGCTGCAGAGAGCAGTTCCAGTAGTGATGGGTTGGCGGAGAGACAGCAGTCAAGGACACAGTGGGAGTAGTTCATACTTCCTGTCTGCCGTTTATTTATGAACCATAGTATTCAGCTACATGTCTGCTTGTATTCGCTGTACTGTACAAACCAACAGAGATAGGACCGGTTTGGGACTTGATTAAGCCAGAAAAATACCACTCAAAGTGATCGATTAGCTACTGCATCTGAAGACATTCATTTTTAATGTGTTTTACTCTTGTGACAAAGCGACCAAGCTGTGTTTCCTCACATCTCTTTCACCTGAGTTATAAGTTAATAAGAACTATTTATATTTACCAAGACACACACAGAAACAGGCCACGTTGAACTGTTACAATACTATGACCAGGTATTAGGCATGTTATTATTGTGAGCGTAGAGCGACATGGAAACTATTATGAATATAAAGTAATGACAGGAGCCACTGTTATATTTAGACTTTAGACTTATGGAAATGTAAACGTATTTCTCTGGTAAAGTCAGTTTTGTTTTGGAAATAGTGTTATGCTGCTGTTAGGTAGGGATGTAACGATGCATCTGCAATCGATTAAATCAATTCAAATGCATGACGATTCGCATTAACTTAAAAAAAATGAACCACAATGCCTCATAAACAAATCCCTCAAAAAGTCACTGGTCATACCCTGAGACTATACACTCCAGTACAGTGGTTGGTGGTATGCTTGTGAGTGACCCGCTATTAAACAATATCATCACGACCCTACAGGACCTGTGTGGCATTCAAGTGCTCAAACAGAGCATAGGAAGATGTGGCGAATAAATTTAATTATTTAAAATCTGTTTGTTTTATTTCACCTTTTTTCCACCTAGACAGCACATTGAAAAGGACATTTCTGGGACATTGCCGACGTTACTAAAATGAAGCTCACTTCAGCAGAGATAGCTGATGAGTTAACAACATAAAACTTATGAGGTGTAAAAAGCTATGGGCTGTAATAACCTCCGCTGTTTATTGATAAAAACTTTAGGGTGTTTGTCGTTAAGAGAACAGTGACAGTAACTGGACAACTATCGTTGCCTATCGTTGCCTGTTTTCCCCCGTTCTGAGGCAATGGCAGTAGTAATTAAGTAGAGGTGGGTGGACACCCAGCCATCTTTTATCAGATAATACCAGCCAAGGACTGTTGATAACTTGTGGAAATTAAACTAGCATTAGTTTCATTATTGATTTGTTGTTAACATGAAAATGATGGAGATAGTGTAGATTGGAAAAATCTCATTAACACAGTCGAGGAGGTCTGGCGTCACTGCGAAAACCTGTCGACAAAAGAAGCAAAGAAGCAAAGAAGAAGAAAAGGGGGGAAGTTATGATAACATAGAGAATAGTGATGCCCTCTTGTGGCCATGCTAAATTCTGATTTTATATATGTATATATATGTGTGTGTGTGAGAGTGACACAAGGCCCATCAAAGTACAAAAAAAGTCCTAAAAATTGCTTATACCTGCATTTATTCCATTTTAGAAAAGCCTTTTCACTAGTCAACTGTTAACAAGTTTAATAATTTCAAGTCAATTTATCTAAGACATCTTCCTATGAGCAGAATTAAAAATCAGAAAAGACACCAGAAGTATGACGTAAAAAGAAGTGAAATGAGAAATGTACGTCGTAGTGAGAACAGTCGAGTGTTGTGATCTAATTCAACACAGATATGCTTCATTAGTAGAAACAAAGTAATGACATTAACTTTAGCACAATGTCCCACAGAGCTGCTAATGCAACAAACAGGCAGAATGTTCTCGGCAAAACGTCTTCAAACTCCAGACATACAGGTTCTCAGCCAATGGCAAAATGACACATCATTATTCCCAAAGACATGACACAGCCTGTTCAGAGCTGAGAGACCTCACTTCAGGTTAACTGAAGGAGTAAGTATTCACTGTGACAGATACTGTATATACACCCTGTTTATTATGTAGATATAAGCACACAGGGCTTTACAGTTGAAGATAATGTGATTTTATGTATTTTTCTCATTTTTTTGTATGAGAAGAAAATGTGAAAAGTGAACTTTGTTCAGGGCCTTAAAACCTATTCAGCTTAGTTTCAGCATACATAAAATCAAGATATTCTTTCTGAGTGAATCAGAGGAATATGAAGAGCTAAACTTGTTTCAGCTAGGTTCAATCTATTCCTTAATTAAAGTCAAATGCTGGAATGTTAGCTTTGAGGACTGAGTAAATACCAGCCACCTCCAGCTGCCTAACCCGAGGAAACGTGTCCTGGTCCTGCTATCATTGAAACTTCCTTCAGCTGTGAAACTTCAGACAGCAGAAGACTAAGAGTCTCTGAGATCCCATATTTAACATGTTTACAGCTTCTAACCACAGGATGTTACTAACTGTGACATTCATTAACATGAAGATGTTCTGACTCACATGTAGCAGTCGATAATTAGGGTTCGGACCACACCCCAAGGTTCATCCTCAAACTCAACCTTTGTCTTGTTGTCTTGTTAAGTTCCTCTTTGTGTTTTCTTTGGCTCTTATTGTTTCAAATATCTATCCACAGAACATACACAAAACATCACACAAAGCCCTCAAACGTTCGTCTGTGGTGCTTTGCACTTCGGTAGGTGTCTGCAGGACCACATTTTTCCAGAATGACACTGACAAACACTGACTCAAAAGGACATTGTCTGGGCTGGTAAACATTTTGGTCTCTGCTGCGATCAAACCCAATAAATCCCACGGTCAGCTGTTGCCTTTGGTTACTGTGTCACTAGGTGTTTGATTGTGTAGCTTTGGTTAGCGGTGCCGGCTCTCACTTAGCTGTAAAACAAAGGGTCTGGCAGCTCATTTGACGTGCCAGGCAAATGATCAGATTCAGTTAGTTCTTTAGTAGGAACAGAGGTTATCCGTTGGTTGTTATTTTAGGAAAAGAAATTTACTTAGAAGTTTGGCTGACTGTTCACTGTTCACTGTTCAGTGTTTATGTAAATAGTCAACTAAACTTGACTGTGTACACGTACACATATACGTACACACATACAGTATGTGCCCAGCTAGCTCAGTAGATAGAGCATGATCTTAATCTCAGGGTCCTGGGTTCTGCCCCATGTTGTGGTTCCATAGTGTAACGGTTAACAGACCAGCCTTACATGCAGAGGGTCCTGGGTTTGAGCCTCAGAGGAACGACATATCCCTAATGGTGCCTCCTGTAGCAGTGTGTGTTGGTTACAGAGACTAAAAACTGAAATTGCCCTATTGTGAGACAAATAAGAGACTTGTTTTGTTTTTTTAAATTTGCTAAATTGGTTACCGTGAGTTGCTTCTGGCTAAACTATTAGCTGATAGCAAGTCAACTTCAAAAGTCTCTATGTTTTACACATGGTCAACTCTTTTAACACGCAAGATGCTCCTTAACTTTGTGGTTGCCACTTTATTTGTCAGACCAGGACATGGTTAAATAAAGCCATTAACTCAAACCATGTTCCTCGTACTAGTGCTTGGACAAAAGAAAAGAGCAATAGCCCGTACAGCATGAGAAATAACCATGGGGTGATTTAACAGATCGAAAACATTTTAGAGATAAACAACACGTTCCATGTCAACTAATCAGGGTTAACATCTTGCTAATTGCACAGATGAAGCTACAGATTCAACAAGGGTTTGGGTAATTGGTTGCCGTATTCAGCCATTCTGACCTTTGTTTACACAAAGATCATTATGGAGAAGAAGGTAGTTGCTCTGGTCGTTGGATACACAAGTACAAGTACGTGGACAATATTGCTGTTCCCTGATTAATTTATTTCTTCAGTTGAGACAGTTAGTGTGTTCATTAGCTTCATTTACATCCACAATGTGGTTTCTAGGTTCAGTAAGTTGAGTCAGAGTTTGCATAATAAAAGTCTTGTTTTGGCTCAACAAACACACATTTTTAAATTCCTTCTACTGTTTAATTATCTGACATTCCCTGAGGAATGTATCCCAAAACACAGACAACAGAAAACATTTGGCAGGTGTGTCCTCACTGCAGTCCCTATCACTATGATTTAGAACACAAACACATGATTGCATGACTGTGTGTTATTGAGAGAATCTGTGGCAAAAGACAAGAGGGTTTCCCATTGATAGAGAAGTCTTTGTGGAAACTTGCATGCATGGGTTGTTAATGTTCTTTGGTAGTGGTTGACTGTGAATGAATAGAGAGGAAAAAACATAGTACAGTCTGTGGAGTTTCTTAAAAGAAAGCCTCTTGGACATCCGGCAAATGAGGCAGAAACAGTGCTCCTGCCCAAAATGCAAATTAACAACTTGGTCAGAGGTCCTCTCAGAGTTTCCCCCTTCACCCCTCTGCTCCCTTTCTCCTTCTCTTTATTGTGTTCAGTGTGAAATCCATCCTAGGAGGGGCTTTTGTAGTGGGGGAAACAAGCGTCAAACTGGAAGACCAGGCCCAGCGAGGCCAGTCTCTTTTTATAGCCTCAGGCATTGAAAGAGCTGTGCAGTACTTTTGACAAACAGCCGAACAGAGGTTGTACAGTAGGTCTGGGATGAGGCAGCAGTGTCTCTTTCTCTGATGCTGCCTGGAGTCTGTGTCAGGAACCAGAAGCCATTCTAACAAGGCCTCACTCTTTTTAAGCCATGCCGCCGGCTGAGTGAGACAGACTGACCCAGGATTAATTGGGCATTGGCGGTGTGGACACTGCTTCAGTGGGCCACACAGGTGTCTGATGTCCCTTTGTCATCCTCTCCTCCAGCTGACCTCATGGCTGAGAGGCAGAAGCACCATCACAGACACACACACACACATATATACACACCCTTCCATCAAATGGACAAAGCATCTGCCTATGCAACATGCTAACCCCTCTGAATAAAAGAAAGTGGCGAGGAAGGGGGTGCAGAATAAAGGGAGCAGAAAAGGTGGGAGGGTTTAGAGGATAACAAACATAAACAGTACTTGCCTTGCGCCTCCTTCTATGCTGTTCTATCTTCCAAGCAGCGTCAGGCACCTCCCGGTGACACCGTTTATTCATGGAAGGCTCCCATAAACTCCTACCACAGTACCAGCTGCAGAAATATCATCTTTGTAGTCTCCAGTGATGGCTGTGAGTGGCGGATCCCCCTGCAGTTTCTCCTCCGCTGTTTACTTTCCCACAACTTCTTCCCTGCACCGTGTGCACTAGCGGTTGAAGATGAGGTAACTCTACGAGCTCCCTCCCCTTTCCCTGCCTCTCCTCTTCCGTTCCTCGCTGCCCCCCCTCTTTTTTATGGAAGGGTCCCTATTTTTCCCCCCTACAGCCTCTTCTTCGGTTCTTTCTTTGCTTTGCTGCCTCCTCCTACTCTTCAGACCCCCGCTGCTGTCCACAGAACACTGTAAGGCCGACTGAGGGCTCCTTGCTGTCCAATGGCAGAATGACAGGGTTGTCCATACAACCAATAGAAAGACAAAAGGCTGCCATATTCACCAATCAAAGCAGAGACTGCGAAAGGTGGGTGGGACCGAAGCACTAAGAGGCCAATGCTGTGTCACTGCACTTCCGCATGTAACTGCAGGTGTGTTCAAGAGTCGGTCATAAAACATTATTACGGCCGATAAAACATTTGTACTTTGATATTTTGCAGCAAAAAGCAAAACAAATTAATAGTTGTTTCTATGTCGCATATTTAAATTGTAAATTTCTGCAAAGATTTACTTATTATTTAAAACTAGTCTTTCTTCCAGTGTATAGTAATTATAAAAATGACAAGAACAAATTCAAACAAAGTTTTTTAATACTATTGTTGCTGCTACTTGCTTCCTCATTATGGTTTGTTTAAGTGATTTTACATGTTCTTCATCTGCGTTATTGAATCTAATTTGTTTCTGATATTAGTTAATACATTCAATGAGTCTGAAGTACATAGGACATCAAAAACGGCTCACACAAGTTAACTATCTTTACTATCACTTGTAAAACTATAGACCAATGAAATGGTCAGTTTAACTTGACTTGCATAACATCTTAGTTTATATGTCAATTTCAATATTAGTTAATTAGAATAATGACTTAAATAAAATATAATACATTTTCATATGTATGTATATGTATTTCATAGCCTGCAATCATATTGCAGGCTAGTTTTGGGACCAAAAAAAACTTTCCTGAACAAAAGTTAATCAGATAATCAGATGTTTAACAAAAACATCCGTAATATTTTGGTGTTTCTTTGACAGACTATCTTTTACAAATCTGTTAACTAAATAGTGTTTTGGTGGTTAATCCCAGTCATTTTGACCTCACTTCCTAAACAAAGCTACCTTACTCGTGTTTTTAAATATATTTGTAGATCTGGCAGTGTTTCTGTGTTGCTTCTGGAGATAATGCAGCATGAACTTGCAGAGTAAGGAAGACAAATCACACCGATTCTACCGTTGTCCAGAAGATTTATTAAAACACATTGAACAAATACACAGAATACAAATAAAAAGTTGACAATTCACTTTATCATTCGATTGCTATACAGAACGAATAGTAGAACCATAACACTGCTCGGAGCTCACCGTCTGTAAATGCTAGATACACTACCGCCTCCTCGACGTGAACCGTCGTATCCAACGTTCACATGCTGTGCATTCACTGCAACAAAGGTGCCTTTAATCAGGGTCTTTTGGTAGCTTCAGAAGCCAGTTTAATAAGCATGTACATACATTGTTAACATATTTATAGTATTAGACTGAAGCCTTTTTTTCCAACAGTAGTTACATTCATACTGACTTCAGTTTGATTGCATTTCTTTGCAGTATGTTTTTGATGACATTTCTCCAAAGGGGAAAATACATATTTTTGATTGATGAGCACATACGGTGCACACTGCACTTCTATGGCATCACCATTCAGGTGACATTCTTTGTTGTTGTTGTTGTTGTTATTTTGATTCATAAAATCTACAGAGATGGACTCATCTCTGAGAAGTTCTTCAAGTATTTACACGTCTGAGGTTGTATCTGTCAAGCAACCTAATACACGTCATGGTCAAGAAAGCAATGGCATTAACAAAAACACTGAGAACAAAATCAGCACAGCTTAACACTTAGAGAGAGTAGTGCAAAACAAATAATGACATGATGAACCTCAAGGTTCAAGGTGAGTCGGTTTAAAATGTCTCGGAAGTAAATGGTAAAGTGGCTGCAGTCACGCAATCTATGTAAGAAAGACGCGGTCAGATGAAAGCACTTGATGATAATCATTTAAAGAAGAGTAAGAAAATACATTCACTAACTCTGTACAACACTTGCTATTCCAGTTTAGTCCAATCACAGGCAACATCCCTGCCATGTCAAGTCAGGATAACAACTGGCCATTTTAATTCCAGCGATTATTCAAACTGGAATTTCACTTTTAGTCCAAAGTTTTTTACGCAATGCTTCAACAGTAGAGGAAAAGTAGTAAGGTTAAATATACAAGATTGCCTCAGTTTGTGGATAGTCGCTTTAGCACATGGTTCTGGATGGAATGGTGTAGATATGTTAATATACAATGCTGAAGTGCCTTCCTACCAGCAATGGGAATTTGACATCACTGAGGATGCTTTTAAAATGTCACCAACATGTAATGAATGCAGCACTGAGTCATAAAAGTTGAAATGTAAATATACTTCCTTCGACAGCAGGTTCATATATTCACTGACAGTGAACTGTAATTACAGTCATCACACCGTGTCAAGGAGCACGGCAGCACTACACTGCCTCAACCATCAAAGTGTACAATAAAAGAAGTTAAACAAATATATTTGTGTCAACTACCGGAGAATTGAGTGACAGCATTATGTGGACTCACTGTACGTAGTTTCAACATTGGAAAGTGAATGATGAAAACATCTCAAAATTAGGAGAAACAAACCTGCTGTCCAGTTGAAACACACAGGCCTGACCCTGTGTGTGGATGTACTGTTGACCAGATGTGCTTTTGTTTATCGTGTAGTCAGGACATGTACTGTAATTTACAGGGGTGGAGACACACTGGGACATATCACTCTGACTGTTTGGGAGTGTGGTATGATTACATCATGCAAAAAGGGACCTCCCGCATTCTCTATGACAAAGCTCTGTGAGCAAAAGTCACAGCAAAGCTCCGATCTTAAACTATTACAGAACAGCAGAGTTATAACAGCTCTATTTGTGCATACCCACAAAGATATTTATTTGTCATGTGACTTTTTAAGCTTATAGCAAAGTCTAAATCAGGGGTCTACAACCTGTGGTTCCCAAGCCACATGGAGCTCTTTAGCCTCTTTGCAATGGACCAAATTTAGCCTGAATGGGTTTAAAAACATGACTGATACATCAGACCAGTAATAAAGGTAGACTGTAGTGAGAATGTGGCTGTAATGGGTTTTGGGTTTTTTTAACAGCAAAAACTAAGGTATAAACCTTTTAACACATCACACTAAAATCTAAGCTTTCTTGCTAAAAGCAAAACAACTTATTCTCCCTGTGTACTAGCTTTAGGTAGATCAAGCAATGTTGACCTCAGGTTAATGTATGTGATTATAGTTGGTGAAATTTATTTAGGTTAAACAACAATTGTCAACAGCTTCAATTTTGTCCTTTTTTATGAAACTGTAGTATCACTGTGTAATTAAAAGGTTATACAAGTCACTATTGAAATCATTCAGTGACTTTTATTTGCTGGTAAAATGATAAAAACATCTCTGTTAATATTAAAGGTTGCAGACCCCTGCACTAAATGAATAATGAATTGATAAAAGTCGTGTTGTATTATATAAAGTTCGTCAATGATTCATCACCACACCCATCAGCCAGCAGACTATTTAATCTAAGCCCGTTTGAACCCCAACCCCAGATTTTGCCAAGTTACTATTTCACCAGTCTTGGTTTCCAGTTTACAGCCTTTGTTAAAATTCAAATATTTATAGAATCATAAATACTTGTCCACACACAGAAAAAATAAGTTCTTCAATGTAAAATACTTCTCCACTTGTGTCACTTCCACTGTTCCACCGTGGCTGCATGTGTAATTCCATGTTCCCCAGATTACATACAGTATTGTGTTATGATGAGTCTAAAGTGAGGTACAGTTAACAGCAGTCTCTGGGTATGAAGACTCCTGGGAGCTGCAGTCAAGTATCTGCAAATGACCAGAAGGTGGCAGTCTACAGAGGATTCAGGAGGACTGTGTCCAACCACTGCATAAATTATAAAATGTTTTTAAATGCATTGAAATTGTCACCATTTGCGATGGTTACAACACTGGCCCTCTGAAAACAAAACAAAAACCAATATCCTACGATGACTGAAGACAACCTTGGCACCACTCAACTTCACAGAGAGATTGCTCCAGTGGGGGACAGTCACAGTGTACAATGAGTGGATAGATGTGTAAAAGCAGCACGGGGAGCAGAATGACAACAGACACAAAATAATACATTCCAAAATTAGAGCGGGTCCCATTTTAGAGCAAACTCTCAATCTCAGTAAGGTCTGCCTAATAGTGAAGGGCTGAAAAAAAGTCCTCCGTCTGGAAAGTTGCTCCTTCTACCCTCCATTTTCTGTCCGTTATTGAAATACTGAAGAGATAAAAGTGCAATAGTTAAGATAAATAGAGTGAATTGTGTATCCATAGACAGCAGAGATGTTGATGTTGTTCAGACAAAGAGCAGAAGAAACAGAACAGAGGAAAAGGGCAGCTGTCATCTTCACAGATTCCATCCCTGGGAGTTTCTGACCTCAGGTCAGTGGTTTTAGAGAATGTGTCTAGTCCTCGATACAGATGACATCACTAGGTTTACCTGACTTGAGGTCAGGTGTGACCACATCTCTCAAGGAGTCCAATGACTTCTTGTCCAGATGGCTTGTAGGAGGTGGGGGACCATTGGAAGAAACTACAGAGGAAAGACAATAAAAGTACCAGTGAATACTAGGCGATTCCAATTAATACTACAGAGTAAAAGTACAAGAAACATCTCATTCTGTTTGTTTGATTCCACCTTACCTGAGAACATTTTAAACAACTCTAATAAAAAATACCACCACCATCACCTTCATTGTAGTGTTCTCTTATCTTAATGCCATCCTATTTATGCACAGAAATTAGTTCATTAACATTCATGTTGAAAAAGTTAACACATTTATAATAAAGAACTAAAACAAATAAGAAACTAAAAATTAAAGACTAAACTTCTATAAATGTTGGGATATGTTGTCCACCACTGGTACAAAATTGAGTCAAAAAGCAAAAAAAACAGAAAGAAAATCTTAATAGAAATACCACAGCTAAATTGGAGACTTCAAAGTAACCAGAAGAATGCTGTGAAAGAGAAACTGTGAATGATTACATTTAATGTATCGTTCATGTCTGATTCATGAAACTGACTGAGTCATTATGAAACATCAGGGCAAAAACAGAAATGTGAGAATTTGGAATTCGTTCTACATGTTTTAGCCATGCCTTGTCGATGTACTGTTG